CTTTAGAGAACCTGCCCAGACGTGGCAGTTTTCTTTGAGAAGCGTCTTCCTACCTCGGTATAAAATTTAATCACCTTTCTCCTACCTCACTCAGAATTCTGGTTTGAAATTGGGCCCAAAGGAAGGACATTTTGAAAAAGACCAAGCCTTGGTCAGAACATATTATAGTTTGTCTGAATCAGAGTTCTCAGAGAAGTTTGTTGAGTAGGCCAGATAAGAGGGCATCCTTTAATGTGTTTGCCATTTGGGACTCTAATGGAAGATGATGACTTAGGCAGGGAGGAGTTTTTTAGATATGAAATTTAAAAATCACTGTCTCCAGTGTCAGAAACTGAGAGTGTTGAAAGCTTGGAACTTCCCCAGGATGTGTGGGGCAGGATTGGGACAGCTTTTGTTTCTCAGCCTTGATGGTGTACCTTGGGTCATTTGTATAAGGCTGAGTTGTGTATTAAATGTTGCTGAGAAACAGGGCAGGAGAGACTGCTCAGCAGCTAAGAGTACTGACTGCTCTTGGGGACCTGAGTTCTATCCCCAGCACCACATGGTAGCTCACAGCTGTCTGTAACTCCAGTTCCAAGGGTCCAGCTTTTCTTCTGACCTACAAGGGCTCCTGCCTCTGTGTGACGTACACTCATGTACACATACAAACACTCAACATTAAATATTTTTTTTAAGTGCTGAGAAGCAAGCTGGCATGATGATATCCACTTGTAATCCTAGCATTTTCCAGGGTCTTACTATGTCGCCCTGGCTGGCCTAGGGCTAGCTAGAAGACCAGGATGGCCTCACTCACAGATCCACCTGTCTCTGCCTTCCAAGTTATGTGCCACCATACCTGGCGTTTTCTTGCATTCTTATATTGTGATCCCATTATTTGTGTGACGTCTGAAATCAGGGGGTAAGTTTTATATATTAAATATGACTACATCATCTCTCTTATATCTCCCAGATGAGTAGTTTTAAGAACATACACCTTTTATTTATTTATTTAAAAAAGATTTTATTATGTATACAGTCTTCTGCCTGTATGCCAGTAGAGGGCACAAGATCTCATTACAGAAGATTGTGAGCCACCAGGTGGTTGCAGGGAATTGAACTCAGGACCTCTGGAAGAACAGTCAGTGCTCTTAACCGCTAAGCCATCTCTCCAGCCCCCCATTCACCTTTTAAAGCTAGGCATGGCAGTGTACATCTTTAGGCCCAGCACTGGGAGGCAGAGGCAGGTGGATCTCTGTGAGTCCAAGGCCAGCCTGGTCTACAGCTCAAGTTCCAGGACAACCTCCAAAGCAAGCAATACAGAGAAACCCTGTCTTGAAAAACCAAAAAAAAAAAAAATAATAATAAGGTGGATGGTGGTGGCGGTGCCTTTAATCCCAGCACTCCGGTGGTTGAGGCAGGTGGATCTCTGAGTTCAAAGCCACCCAGGTCTACAGAACTAGTTCCAGAACAGCTAAAGCTTTTACACAAAAATGTCTCAAAAATGTGTGTGTGTATATATATGTACATATGCACACAAGCTAAACATTCTTTGTACTTGTTGTCTAATAAAGGCTAACATGGGCCTGGAGAGATGGCTCAGAGTTTAAACAGCACTGGCTGTTCTTCCAGAGGTCCTGAGTTCAGTTCCCAGCAACCAAATTGTAGCTCACAACCATCTATAATACAATCTGGTGCCCTTTTCTGGCACGAAGGCAGAGCACTGTATGCATAATAAATAAATCTTAAGAGAAAGAAAAAGGAAGAAAGAAGAGAAAGAAAAGCTAACTTTGCTGGGCATTTATGGACATGCTTTAATCCCATCACTGCCCTGGGGGTTTGAGATGAGAATTTCTGAATCCCAGGCCATGTGGGATTACATAGTGAGACCCTATAAACAAACAAAACCTAACATTTAGTACAATCTCCATATATCCTCAAGCCTTAGAAATGCATGATAAAATTTTTCTGGATGACAGAACTAAGGCTCAACAAGTACTTTGTCCAAGGCCAAAGAATCCAAATCCATCTGAGATTTGAACCTACCTTTTTTTTTTTTAATTTTATTTACTTTTATTTTATGGCCCATGTTACATGGGTGTCAGGTCCTCTGGAACTGGAATTACAGACAGTTGTGGGCTGCCATGTGGGTTCTGGGAATTGAACCCAGGTCTTCTGGAAGAGCAGTCAGTAAGTGCTCTTAACCACTGAGCCATTTCTCCATCCCTGAACCTGCCTTCTTATGTGGCTCTGACCATACAGCATGTGTCTAAGATGATATGAAATAGCTGTGGGTCCTGTGATCCTTCAGCTGGGGTGGTATAAGAACAAGAGTCAGGTGCCAAATAGCTTTTATTCCTTTTAATTTCTGGTTTCTTTGGACTGTCCACTTGTTGCCAACAGCATGTAATTTATAAAATAGGATGTGCTGTTTTCTCAGATTAACAAAAAGAATAGAGTCACTAGTTCCCTTGTAGATTCAACAACAAAAGCAAAGAAGAAAATGAACTGTGACCCATCTTTGAGGGTCTAACCCAGAGGACACAGGAAGAAAGACGAGTTACTGATTCCTACAAGCCAGGCGATAGATAAGTGACTGCCTAGACTGGAGGAGAGAGGGTGCTTCTTCAGGCTTCTTCCCAGGTTCTCCAAAGCCAACCCCTGCATGTTCTTTGCTCTGGTTTAAGCTTTCAATGTAACCCAACCTAAAAACAAGGACTTGGTCTTATTTTTTATGTGTTTTACTCGTAATTATTAATCTCATGATGCTTATTTTGGATCCCTGTTCTGAACAACTGGCTTTTCCTATGATGGGGAAGTCCTGGAAGACTGAAGTCTTTTTCTCTGTTAATTGGACTTTTCATGATGCAGAACAGAGTGAAGGCTTCTTCTTAATTTACACTTGATCTTAGCCCAAAGCTGAGAAGTGATCATTACGTATGTTAGTGGGTGCGTGTGCGGGGGCTGACTGTTCACATATACACCTAATGGTATCTGATTTTCAGTATACAGCATATTCATAAACCAAATTGCTTGCTTTGAAATGGGCTCTTGCTGTGTAGTCCGGTCTGTCCTTGAACTTTGATCTTCTTGCCTTAGCCTTTAGAAGCTGGGACTGTAGGCATATATACTGACTGGATGTTGGCCAGTGATCATATATTTTCATAACCAACTTATTCTTTAAAAAGATAATTAAAATGTTACCTAGGTCTGCTTATTGCCTCAACTTAGGAACTTGATAGAGCTTTCTGAATGCTGGGTGTTGTGGTGAAAGTTTCAGGACAGCTAGGACTACACAGAAAACTTGTCTGGAGGGAAAAGAAAGAAAGAAAGAAAGAAAGAAAGAAAGAAAGAAAGAAAGAAAGAAAGAAAGAAAGAAAGAAAGAAAGAAAGCTTCCAGTGCAAATTATTCTGCCCTCGAGAAGCTGTTAACATAATCCAAGGACTTTCCTTTGGGGAGGGGGCAGGGAGGTTCGAGACCGAGTTTCTCTGTGTAATAGTCCTGGCTGTCCTGGAACTCACTCTGTAGACGGGGCTGGCCTCAAACTCAGAGATCCACCTGCTTTTGCCTCCTGAGTGCTGAGATTAAAGGCATGTGACACCAACACCCGGCTCCTTTTTTTATATATATAAAAATAGAATCTTACATATGGGGTTAATGTCCACTAGTACATTGCAAATATCCCCCCACCCCCCAGGGTTTCTCTGTGGCCTTAGAGGCTGTCCTGGAACTTGCTCTTGTAGACCAGGCTGGCCTTAAGCTCACAGAGATCCCCCCTGCCTCTGCCTGCTGAGTGCTAGGACTAAAAGGGTCTCATGTAGCTTAGGTGGCCCTAGCTGAGGGTGACCTTGAACTCCTGATCTGCCTTTACCTCGAGTGCTGAACTGCAAGCATGCACCACCCACCATGGCTCTGTTCTTTGAGCCTTGGTTGAACCCAGGTAGCTACCGTCTTGTTTGCTAGTTTGATTTTCAGAGATTTATCAAGGAAAATAAGAACTCCTTGGAATGGGAGGGCTCCAAAGGAGGAAGAGACAGAGCCTGTGTGTTTTGTTTGTTTGTTTGGTTGGTTGGTTGGTTTTTTTGTTGTTGTTGTTGTAGTTTTCTGAGACAGGGTTTCTGTGTGGCTTTGGAGGCTGTCCTGGAACTAGCTCTTATAGACCAGGCTGGTCTCCAACTCACAGAGATCCACCTGCCTCTGCCTCCCAAGTGCTGGGATTAAAGGCGTGTGCCACCACCGCCCGGCCTAAAAAATTAAGTCTTAAATAAAGGACTGGAGAGATGGCCCAGAGTTTAAGAGCACTGGCTGCTCTTCCAGAGGTCCTGAGTTCAATTCCAAGCAACCACATGTGGTTTACAACCCTCTGTAATGAGATATGGTGCCCTCTTCTGGCACAAAGGCAGAACAGTGTATACATAATAAATAGATCCAAAAACAAACACGGCCTAGTAGTGGTAGTTCTTACTCCTAATCCCAGCATGTGTGAGGCCAATCTCTGTGAGTTCAAGGCCACTTGGTCTACAAAATGAATACCAGGACTGTTATATAGAGAAACCTTGTCTCAACAAAACAACACAAATCCCAGCCTTAACCTTAAAATAGAGAGGACTAAGAGGGCTATACCCTGGGCCAGGAATTAGGAAGGTAGAACGTAACATAAGGGTAGGCTTTTCCAGGCTTATATTTTTTCACACTCATTTTTCTCTACCACTGATAGTTACTCTCTCTCTGTCTGCCTTTCTAACAACTTGCTTTTAGACAGTGTCTAAAAGCTTGGCCTTAACCCTGTGATCCTTTGCCCCAGTTTCCGGTGTGCTGGGTTTATAGGTGTGGTACCATGCTTGACTTAAAGTTGGGTCTTTGCCCAGGTTAAGGGCATATTTTCTTCTCTTTTTCAACTTGTACCTTCTCACAGCACCCCTGCATTGAAGGGTAAGTGAAGGGATGGAGGGGGCACTGCCTCTAGACAATGATGTAACCTTGCTTAACCATGGGTTTTTTTTTCCTTTTCTCCCTCCTACAGAAATGGAGACAAACGACCATTTTAATTTTACTGGCCTTCCCCCTGCACCAGCTGCCTCAGGACTGAAACCCTCTCCTTCCTCAGGCGAGGGCCTCTACACTAACGGGTCTCCCATGAACTTCCCCCAGCAAGGGAAAAGTGAGTGTGGAGACAATGAGACCTGGGGAGGGAATGGACATTGGTTCTTTAGATCAGGTTGATGGGAGGAGATTGATAAAAGTACTTTGCACTAGCTACCCCACAAAAACTCTCTCATGGTAGGTGGTGACAGGAAATAAATACATAGAACTAATTGCTAAAGAGAAATCAAACTTCTGAGAATAAGCTATAGGGACTTATAGAAGCTGGTTGTGTTTGTTTGTTTGTTTGTTTTGTCTTTAATTGGAAAAAGATTAGAAAAAACATATAAGCTTTTCCATCTTAGTCAGTCCTATTCCCTGGCTACTGGCAGAAAAAGAGGTAGCTATTGTTGCTAATAATGAGGGTGGTGGACCTGTGACAGGTAAAGCCCTCTGGGGAGCAGGAGTAGGACTAGGGGTGAAGTAGGAAGGGGGTGAAGGCTGTGGTAGGTATGCTTTTAACTTGTGCAGCAGGGAGATGTGCTGGTGCCGCCTCTTGTCCTTGCACAGAAGTTAGGGTGTGCACTGCTTCCCTTAGACACTGACAATCCTCTGTGGAACTGCTGCTGTTGAGGTTATTGTCTTTTTCTTTCTTTTGGGGTAATGGCTTACTCTAGTCAAGGATGGCCTTGAACTGGTGGCAGTCCTCCTGCTTCAGTATTCTATCTATTACCTTTGTATTTCAAGTCACATACTTTATCCTTCCTTGCAGTAGAAAAATCCTGTCGTATATAAGGCACTTGCAGATAATATAAGTCCTGTTATTTCACTGGATTTCCCCACACATAACATACTCACCTACCTACTGTAGGATCCCCCCATACACAGACACCTGCTTGAAGTTTCTTTAGTATTGTTATCTGTTGCAGACTCGAAGATTGCTATTTTCAGAGCTGGATTCTGCAGCACTGGTCATGCAAAGATTTTTTTTTTTTTTTTTTTTTTTTTTTTTTTTTTTTTTTTTTACCTATTCCATATTACCTTTCTGGGCCTATGGGAAGGGACTAAACCCAGTCTTATGAGCTCGAATTTTGTCACTGTGGTGACTGCAAATTCTATTCTTAGCCCAGCACAAAGTGCTGGATCTGCATGTGCCAGTGAGGTAGAGACTGTCCCTTCTGGTGCCACTGTGGGGCCAAATAGGCACTAAGGAAAGGGGGGTAGGGAACTGGAGAATTCAGTCATGCCCCCCAAGGAAAGAATCCCCATGAGGAATGAGAGTGTGAAAGAATGCAAGTCACTGAAGGAAACCTGTGTGCAGCTTCAATAACGGCAGCTGACACTGGCTTCTGTGACACACCTAAGCTGCTCCCTAGCGTCTTACTCAGCTGTCTCAGCAGCAGTACTAAGGCTACACACAGGAGCATCCAGGGTTGGTGTCCCCTGGAGACCCAAAAGCTAAAGGTGACAGGAAGGAGACCCTTCGCCTGCACCTTGCCTGTAAATTGGGGTTTGTTTGGTAGCATTATTATATATATGTTCATAGCTGACTCTCTTCTGTTTTTCTGCCAGGTTTGAATGGGGATGTGAATGTTAATGGCTTATCTACTGTATCTCACACTACTACTTCAGGGATTTTGAACTCTGCTCCCCATGCCTCCAGCACCTCACACCTCCATCACCCTAATGTGGCCTACGACTGTCTCTGGAACTACTCGCAGTACCCACCTGCCAACAGTGGCAACAACCTCAAGGACCCACCCCTTCTCTCTCAGTTCCCTGGGGGACAGTACCCGCTCAACGGTGTCCTTGGGGGCGGCCGACAACCCTCTTCCCCAAGTCACAACACTAATCTTCGAGCTGGGAACCAAGAGTTCTGGGCCAATGGTACCCAGAGTCCCATGGGACTTAACTTCGATTCACAGGAACTGTATGATTCCTTTCCTGACCAGAATTTTGAGGTGATGCCCAATGGACCCCCAAGTTTTTTCACCTCCCCACAGACATCTCCAATGTTGGGATCTAGCATCCAGACCTTTGCACCTTCCCAGGATGTGGGCAATGGGATCCATCCTGATGAGGCAACAGAGAAGGAGCTGCCCTCAGTTGTGGCAGAAAACAACACTGGCTTGGTAGGCAGCCTGGAGCTGGAGGAAGAGCAGCCAGGTATAACTGGGTCTGTGAGCTGGGTGTGGAGAAAGGAAGTGGGGTCGTGGGGAACACTGGCTTTTTGGGGTGAGGAAAACTTGTCTTTCCAGCTCTTAGCAGTGGAGGCTGATTAGCAGAGCCAAGTGGCTGGTGTTTTTGTGGTAGCAGCACCAGTTCAAGAGTGGGAGTACAAATTACTTCAAGTTCATGCAGAGCTGCTGGCCGGGAGAGGGCAGGCAGGTGATGGACAAGCCTGAAACAGTCCACAAAGACACTGCCTCAAAAATGGCTTCTTGGTTTGGGAATGTAGCTCAGTGGCTAGGATGCTTGTGCAGCGTACATGAATGAGCCCCGGGTTCCACCTACAGCACTGCATAAATCATGCATAATGGCACATGCCGGAATGGAGGCTAGAGGAGAAGTTGTTCAAGGTCATAAGTGAGGTAGGGTAGTGGCTTTTGAAACAGATGAGAGGGTTAAGACATCATTGATGAGCACTGAAACTATGAGGCTATTTTAACTGTGGGAGGGTCATGTCATACTCAATTGGCTCAGCCCTAGTAGTGCCTCACTTATGAAGGCAAGGAGAAACCGAGTGCACCATTGCTTGTCTTCTCATCTTCCTTTGTTAATATTTATATATGTGACAACTGCTTTTTTCCTAAAATAGATAAAAACTTAGTTTGTATTTGTAGCTCATGCAAGGGCAACTACCCTATAAAAATCAAAGGATATTTTTTCTGTTCCACGTGTTGAAAAAAACAGCCGAGTGCATGATAGGGTTCTTGCCTTAGCCTTGCTGTCCTTTTTCTCTTTGCCTGACATAAGATAGTTTAGCAGCACCTGGATAGGGTCTGTTCCTAGTTTAGAACTGGCAGTAAATGTTGATTGAATGAACATCTTATTTTAAAACAAAGTTAAGAGTTTACTAAGAGAATTTTAACACAGATTTGAGTACCAATGTGGCTGGGGGAAAGGGGCACTTAGGAAAAGAATAATACACACCATGTGCATGTGTGGACTTCCAGGGAGAGTTGCCTGAATTTTAATGATTTATTTATCTTTATGTACATTGGTGTTTTGCCTATATGTATGTCTGTGTGAAGGTATCAGATCCCCTGGAACTGGAGTTATAGACAGTTGTAAGCTTGCCATGTGGGTGCTGGGAATTGAATCTGGGTCCTCTGGAAGAACAGCCAATACTCTCAGCCCCCTCTCCAGCCCCATCTGAGCACATTTTTATAACTATCTAATATAGTTACGTTGAAAGCATCAGTTTTGACTTCTGGTCTCTCCTGGGATTATCTAGAACTAAAGATGTGTGGCTACAATGGTTCTGTCTCCTCTGTGGAGTCTCTACACCAAGAAGTCTCCGTCCTGGTCCCCGACCCCTCAGTGAGCTGTTTAGATGATCCTTCACATCTTCCTGATCAGCTGGAAGACACTCCAATCCTCACGGAAGACTCCCTTGAGCCCTTTGACTCCCTGGCACCAGGTGGGCTTAGGAGGGTGTCTCTCTCTCTTGCTTACCTGAGCAGAAGGTAGCCAACCCGTTACCTGGAGAAGTTGGGAAGTTTTCAGGAGTCTGTGGTATTGGGCTTATAGGTAAAGCTTTAGTAACCATAGTCTGTACTGTGGCTGGGCTGGCTTTACTCAGATGCATTGGTTCATTGCCCAGGCTCTTCTAGTCTTCCAGTTGGCCAAGAGCCCTTGGCTGCCGTAATTCACTGAATAGGGTGTGAGTACCACACAGTTGGGCTGTTTGGGTTCTAACTAACTAGAAAGAAAACATTTGCTAATTAAATACAAAAACAAGGCATATTTTATGATAATGCTGGATTTCTGCAAGGATCTATGGGTTATCTTTGCCTTCATTTTCAGACTCTTGGCTTTGCTCTTTAAGAGAGCTATATGTTCCCCTAGTAATGTTCTGCTTGTAATTTTTTTTTTTCCCCCATAAACAGAGCCAGTGAGTGGAGGACTTTATGGTATAGATGACACAGAGCTGATGGGTGCAGAAGACAAGTTGCCTCTTGAGGACAGCCCTGTAATCTCTGCCCTCGATTGCCCTTCTCTCAATAATGCTACTGCCTTCAGTCTCTTGGCAGACGACAGTCAAACGTCAGCCTCTCTCTTTGTCAGCCCTACCTCTCCACCTGTCTTAGGGGAGTCTGTCTTGCAAGGTAAGTGAGGAGAGGTAGGACAAATGAAGCCCTCACTTGCAAAACAGTGCATATGTTCCATAGCTTTGCCCTTAATGTGGGATTTTTGTTGTTGTTTTTTTGTTTGTTTGTTTGTTGTTTTTTCCCAGAGACAGGGTTTCTCTGTGTAGCTTTGGAGCCTATCCTGGCACTCGTTCTGAAGACCAGGCTGGCCTCGAACTCACAGAGATCCGCCTGCCTCTGCCTCCCGAGTGTTGGGATTAAAGGCGTGCGCCACCAACGACTGGCTTTAACATGGGAATTCTGAAATGGTGTCTTGCTGACAGACTATGAGATGGTGTCTAGTGGGAATAAAAAAGCATCAGCTGATGTACTTAGACCTGTGCCCTCAGTCCTTAAGAAAACATGTTTACCATAGTGTAGGTTTGATTGAATAAATTCTTTTACCTGATACCATTTTCTTTTACTTATATTATTTGGATTTTAGATAACAGCTTTGACCTGAATAATGGCAGTGACTCTGAACAGGAAGAAATGGAGCCTGAGTGTTCAGACTTCTCACGGCCCCAGACTGAGCTGGCCCCTGACCAGCCGCCAACTATTGAGCTACATCCAGCAGCTTCTCCAGCAGCCTCCTCACTTGTCCCTCCTGCAGTCTTCCCAGCAGCCTCTTCTGCTCCCTCACCTTCCCTCCCAGCAGCCTCTTTGACAGCTCCAGTGACCTCACCTCATGCCTGCCCTGCACCTTCCCCAACAGCCACCTTCCAGACAGTTTCCCCAGCAAATGAAGATGTCAGCAGGGTCCCAGAAACAACTTCTGCTGGTTTGGGAGAGATCACTGGAGAAGCTGTCACAGTTTCTGGTAGTGGTAAGTGTCCAGTTTCTGTTCTGTCCCTGCCTGGTTTCTATAAAAGTTGTCACATACTGCATCCATCCCTCTACTAACCTGTAATATTTATTATGTATGCAAATTCTGCTTCCATTGCATCTGCACACCAGAAGAGGGCACCAGATCTCATAAGGGATGGTTGTGAGCCACCATGTGGTTGCTGGGAAGAAGCAGAATGTTGTATACATAATAAATAAATAAAATTAAAAAAAAATTGTGTTGTTTCTTGAGACAAGATCTCACTATATAGCCTTGGCTGGTCTTTATAGACCAAGTTGGGCTCCAGTTCACAGAGTTCTGCATGCCTCTGCTTCCAAATGCTGTACGACCATGTCCTGGTAACCTTGCTTGACTTCTTACTTTGATATTTATGGTCTTACTTTAAGGTGATGTACTGAAGAGACGAATTGCTACCCCAGAAGAAGTTCGTCTTCCCCTCCAACATGGGTAAATGCTCTAGATTGCTGCATGCATTGACCTTAACAAGCCTAGGAATGACTCTAAGTCGTGGGAATAGATTATAGGGCAGTGAGTAGGGCGTGGGATTCCTGGAGTTGGATTCACAGGCTGTTGTGGGTGTTGGGTTTTCTGGCAGAGCAGTGGGTGTGCTTCACTCCTGGGCTGTCACTCTAGACCAATTTCCTCTTTTGGGGGAGTGTTTTTTTGGAGACATGGTTTCTCTGTATAGCCCTGGCTGTCTTGGAACTCCCCCTGTAGACCAGGCTGGCCTCAAACTCACAGAGTTTGACCTGCCTCTGCCTCTGCCTCCTGAGTGCTGGGACTGAAGGTGTGTGCCACCACTGCCTGGCTACATTTTCTTTTCCTTATGTATGGTCTATCTTCCCTCGTTTATTCTTTGCTCATCTGCTGGTTACTTGGTCTTGATCAAGGATCCTTTTCCTAACTAAAGTTCAAGTATTCAGGGTAGCTAGACAAAACTTTTTATAGAGTGGGATATCGGTGAGGGAGAGAGGCTTCCTTTCCTACCTGTGAATTGTGATGTTTTCGTGCTCTCTGGAAAGCTAAGCTCTGGAACAGTAACTGCTTAATGACCAAACTAGGTATTATTGAAGACCTTCTGTAAACAACTGTCTTCCTAATTTTCACCACAACCACTCAGGTCTACTGAAACACTGGAGATGTGGACAAGGCTGGCTGCCATAGTCTATTGCCCAGAACATAGTTACTAACTAAAACATGGTCTGCTTAGTTATTTCATGGAGTCAGCCTCCAGTCTACTCTGATACTCCTCTACACCTGAGCCAGGGTTTTTAGGAGTTTGTATCTGCTCATTTCAGTAGCTTCATAAAAATGAAGGGTGGGGATCTTGACATATTTGCCATTTGGTATATTGTTTTCCTCCTTAAGTATTTGCTTTAGCTCAGGCAATGTCAAGCTCATGTGTTGTGCTGTATTGTTTCTGTATGCAGGACTGTCTGTAGGACTATCTACATGAAGGCCTAGTGAGACAGATGTAGTTGGTTCCTGGGTGGCATGGGAGTGGGTGGGGTGTGACCTGGTGGCAGGGCCCATGTGCTTCTCTGGCAGGTGGCGGAGAGAAGTGCGCATCAAGAAGGGTGGCCATCGGTGGCAGGGGGAGACTTGGTATTATGGCCCCTGTGGGAAGAGAATGAAACAGTTTCCAGAAGTTATCAAGGTAACAGCATTTGTAGCTTTTAAAGGACTTTTTCTAGCATTGTCTCTCTAGCAGTTGACTTACTCTGTTTGTGTTATGGCTGGGCAAAGACATGGTCGGGATATGACTTTACTAATGTCACTTTTTCTCTCAGTACCTGAGCCGAAATGTGGTACACAGTGTTCGTCGTGAGCACTTCAGCTTCAGTCCCCGAATGCCTGTTGGAGATTTCTTTGAAGAAAGAGACACACCAGAGGTACTGGCCCAAGGGTTAAATAGTTGGTGAACAAGTTGTAGATTCTTTTTGTGGAGTCTAGTGGCTCAAGAAGTCTGGGATAATTTGGAGGACTTAGTGGCCTGCACTGATTTTTTTCTCCCTTATGGTGTTCCTTGTTCCTTTAGGGCTTGCAATGGGTCCAGTTATCCGCAGAGGAGATTCCTTCTAGAATTCAAGCAATTACTGGCAAACGAGGCCGACCTCGAAATAATGAGAAGGCCAAGAACAAGGACATTCCCAAAGTGAAGCGGGGCCGAGGTCGGCCACCTAAGATCAAAATCCCTGAGCTATTAAATAAAACAGACAATCGACTCCCAAAGAAACTGGAGACCCAAGGTACAGTGTTACTTGTAGCTCAGGTACTCTGCTCTCTCCACAGGGTATCTGAAATGTTGCTGAATTGTAGTTGGTACCTGGTTTCCTAGGAGGGACTTAACATCTGGAAAGAGGAAACTGTCTGTTCTCCCCTTGGAAGGCATGCTCAGAGTCCCAGCCTTGTGCTGCGTTTTTTCCCCAGGCACTTTTTCCTTAAGTTGCTTTTACCAGTAAAGCCTTGAGCTGTCCCCAGATACAGTAATGCCAAAGGAGAAGATGTCCATGCTTTTCCTGTCCATCTTCCAGCTACTTCTTGTGCTGATTGTGTTCATATATATTTCCATGACTTTTGTTGTAGAGATTCCAGTTCACGTCTGAATCCAAAAGATAATTGGCTCACTATTTTAGTCAGATAGGTAAATGGGAAAACAATGGGAAAAATGTCTGTGTTTTTTGGGGGGAAGGAGGGGTTTTTTTTGTTGTTTTGCTTAGAGACCGGGTTTCTCTGTGTCCTGGAACTTGCTCTGTAGACCAGGCTGTCCTTGAACTCACAGAGATCCACCTAAAGGTGTGTGCCACCGCCGCCTGGCAAACATGTCTAATTTTCTAAGTAAGCATTACATGTGCAGTGTACAGAATATGAAATAGTCTTGTTGCCGCCATTCAGAGTTCCAGCACTGCTGTCTTTATGTATCTTTTTTCTCCTATGCTAGGGGCCAGTACAGGGACTTTGTACTTGTCTACCAAGTGCTCTACCACAGTTAAAACCCAAATTTCATTTTTTCAAAACAGTTTATTTTATGTGTATGAGTGTTTCACACATAGGCACTACATGTGTGCCCGGGGCCTCTGAAGATCCTAAGAGGGTGTCAGATCCCCTAGAACTAGAATTGTAGATGGTTGTTGACTGACTGAACCCAGGTCCTCTGCAATGACAGTGAGAGCTCTTAACTGCTGAGCCGTCTCTCCAGCCCCGTATCTCATTAAGTGACTTATTTGCCCATAGTACTTTAAAAGGTTTCCATGAAAGTGCATGGTGGTGTTTCTTTATCAGAAATAAAAGAATAGGTACTGTTGGGTCAGAATGTCAATTAGAAATGAGATATTTGCAGATTTATACTTTGATTTGGATCTTTCAGTGGAGTGAGCTGCAGAAACAGAGTGTAAGCACTGGCTATGACAGGGTTGAGTCATTATCCTTGTCTTGTGCACACTAAGTTGCCAGTGTTACAAACCAATACCCTCTTTCCTGACAGTTTAGATTATTCTTTCCTTTCTCAGCTGTCTGTGCACTAAAATCAGTCTGATTGTTGCTGCCCTTGCTCCATAGCCTGGGGAAGAGACAGATCATAAAGGCACTCTGCTTTTATAGCCTCTTCCATCAGTTGGAGCCAGCCTGTGGCTTCTGGACTACTGATGCTGTTTGAGCATTTTGTGTAACACCTGAGCAGGTGCTTCTCTGACCCCATCTGTCTCTTGAACATTTTATTATGTCTACTCAGAAAACGAGCCAAAAACAAAAGAGACTTGTCCGTGGAGCTGCACAGGAGAGAAGCCAGCTTTGTAGTGGGCATGTGCTGCTATGGGAGCCAAGTGTGTGCTCTGCCTGACTTCTTTCAATCTCCTTCCTGCCTTACAGAAACACCGAGTGAGGAAGATAAAGCAAAGATGACTAAGAGCAAAAAGAAGATAAGACAGAAGGGACAACGGGGAGAGAGTCAGCCTCCTGTTCAAGGGCAGGTGAGCAGGGACAGCAGTGGGCAAGTTTTTCTACAGCACACATCAGTGTAGCAGCACACTGGGATTTCCTGGGCTTGATTTAGAAACAGGGTCTGCAAGGTGAGAGAATCAATCCATTGCCATCCCTCAGCATCCCATCTCCTACCTCTCCAGTCCCTCCACATCCATCTCTCACCTCTCCAGTCTCTCAGCATCCCATCTCTCACCTCTCCTCCCAAGCACCCTTTTCTGTTTTGAATCCTTGCCCAAGCAGAGATGTTTTCAGGGTTTGAGGAGAAATGACTTCCCTTGTGGTTACAGGCCAGAAACAAGAGGAGACAAGATGCCAAGAGCTTAAAGCAGAAGGACACTAAGAAGAAACTCAAGGTATATATATGATGAATATATTTCCCAAGTTTAATTCCTTTTTCCAGGTTGTATTGTGCATGCTAGACAAACATAGTACCTCAGAGCTAAATTCCCATCTCTCAAGTCTGATTTTGAAGCCACCACAGAGATTTTCCAAACACACCTATATCAGTTTTGGGAGGGACTAAGATCAGGCATGGTGGGGCTGGAAAGATGGCTCAGTGGTTAAGAACACTTTTTGGCTGGTCTCTCAGAAGTCCTGAGTTCAATTCCCAGAAACCATATGGTGGGTCACAACCATCTATAATGAGATCTGGTGCCCTCTTCTGGCCTGGAGGGACACATCCAGACCGAACACTGTAGATACATAATAAATAAATGAATGTTAAAAAAAAAAAAAAAAAAAAAAAGATCAGGCATGGCTAGACAGGTATCTGTGACACTTGGTCCTTTCTCCTGGGTGGGTAGGTTGATAAAGAGAAGATGAAGACAAAGCAGGAAAAACTGAAGGAAAAAGTGAAAAGGGAAAAGAAAGAAAAGGCAAAAGTGAAGGTAAAGGAAGAGGTGGCCAAAGCCAAGCCAGCCTGTAAAGCAGAGAAGACCCTGGCCACACAGAGGCGTCTGGAGGAGCGACAGAGACAGCAGGCTATTTTAGAGGAGATGAAGAAGCCCACAGAGGACATGTGTCTGCCTGACCACCAGCCCCTGCCTGATTACACACGCATCCCTGGTTTGACATTGTCCAGTAAGGCTTTCTCAGACTGCTTGACCATCGTGGAGTTCCTGCACAGTTTTGGCAAAGTGCTAGGCTTTGACCTTACCAAAGATGTTCCTAGTCTTGGAGTCCTGCAGGAGGGACTCTTATGTCAAGGTGACAGCTTGGGCAAAGTGCAAGACCTGCTGGTTCGGCTCCTGAAGGCTGCACTCCATGATCCCGGTCTGCCCTCCTACTGTCAGGTGAGCTTTCCTGGACCTGAGTTAGCTTTCTTTGCTTTCTCTTTGAGAACATTTAAAAAGCCCCGCTTCCTCAGAAAGAACCCAGAGAAGTTGGGGTGTGGCCCCTTCTGTTTCTGGCTTGTTTGTGACATTTCCTTGCACTGCTTCATCTGATGTTCTTACTTCGCACCTTTTCCTAGTTGTAGACGTTTTTCCTAATTTTCATTATTTTATGTGTATGTGTGTTTTGTCTGCCAGTTTGTGTGCATGGTACCCATAAGGACCAGAAAAAGGCTGTGATCTCCTTTAATTGGAGTTACAGACAATTGTGAGCCACCATGTGGTTGCTGGGAACTGAACCTTGAACCTGGTCCTCCGGAAGAGCAGCCAGTGCTCCTAATGGCTGGGCCAGCCATCTTTCCAGCCCCATGTCCTGGCAGTTTTCATTCTTTTCCTCCTTTTTCCACAAAAATTTCTTTTAGCTGGGTACATGACGACACACTTTTAGTCTTCGAGCCTGGGAGGCAGAGGCAGACAGCCCTATTGGAGCCTGCTCTGCATAGCAAGTTCCAGGCCAGCTGGGGCTTTTTTTTTTTTTTTTTTTTTTAATTCATTTTTATCTTATATGGATGAGTGTTTGCCTGCATGTATGTTATGTGTATCATGTGTGTAGCTGGTGCCCCCTGAGACCAGAAGATGGGGTTGGGGTTGGATCCCATGTAATGGGATTTGAGGACCAAAGCTGTGTCCTTTCAAGAGCCATAGCTATCTCTCCAGCTCTAAATTGTTTAAAGTTACATTTATTCTCTCTCTCTCTCTCTCTCTCTCTCTCTCTCTCTCTCTCTCTCTCTTTCTCTCTGAGGACAGCTTGTGTATATATGTGTGTGTGTGTGTGTGCATATCTGTGGTCAGAGTGTCTCCCTCCACTGTGTGGGTGCTGGGAACTGAACTCATTGGCATGCTGTCCTCTGAGCCATCTCATTGACCTCATTCTCTTAACCCTGTCGTTTTTCTCTCAGGTTCACCCAACTTGAGTTGTTCCTACTTAACCTTCTCATTCCCATTATGCTTTCTTTCAAATAGTCCCTAAAGATCTTGGGGGAGAAGGTGTCCGAGATCCCACTGACCAGAGACAATGTGTCTGAGATACTCCGCTGCTTCCTCATGGCATATAGAGTGGAGCCGGCCTTCTGTGACAGACTGCGCACCCAGCCTTTTCAGGCACAGCCACCCCAACAGAAGGCTGCTGTCCTAGCTTTCCTTGTGCATGAGCTCAATGGCTCTACCACCATCATCAAGTGAGGGACTTGGGATGGGGGTGGGGGGCTGATTAATCCTGTGCTTTGTGTAGGATTTGAGTGGGGGAGGGGCTTAGCATTCCAGAAGTCCCCAGGTAAAGTGTCCATTGCTCTTCTCTGAGGATACTGGAATGACTAGGCTAGAGTCTCAGTCCCTTCCCTGGGAGAATGTAAGCCTTCCTTTGTCATTGGTCTTGTCTGTGTAGCCCCTTGTAATACTTTATCTTTCTTTTTTCCCTCAAAAATCATCCCCTGTTCCTCTGCAGTGAGATTGACAAGACCCTGGAGAATATGTCTAACTACAGGAAAAACAAATGGATTGTTGAAGGCCGACTCCGAAGGTAGGAACGGGAGAGAGTAGAATCCAGAGAGATAGTGAGGCATCTCGAGGATGTTGCCAGGATGTGATGCCCTTCTTTGGTTGGCACCTTGTCAGGACTCTGGAACATGTACACGCCAGGTGTTTCTTTCTTGGCATTATGTTCTTCACCAGAATCTCCCCCAATCTCTGTTTTTCAAGACTGAAAACTGCTCTGGCCAAGCGAACGGGTCGGCCAGAAGTTATGATGGAAGGGCCAGAAGAAGGCCTGGGACGGAGGCGCAGTTCTCGGATCATGGAAGAAACCAGTGGCATAGAAGAGGAGGAAGAGGAGGAAACCATAGCAGCTGTCCATGGCCGTAGGGCTCGAAGGGATGGAGAGGTAAGGACCCAGCGAAAGGAAGGTGGGGCTTCTTTCTTGGATCAGTAACTCCCCTTCTCAATGTCCTGTCTGTTTCTGCACAGGTTGATATTGCAGCATCCAGCATTCCAGAGTTAGAGCGCCAGATAGAAAAACTCAGTAAGGTACTGTGTTTTTAACCTCCCAAAAGTTGGAAATGGGGTTGGGCAAGAACTGTTGTGTTCCCTTCTTTAGATTGTATTTATTACATAGGGAAGCTGATAAGCCTCAGTTCTCTCCCTATATTAAAATCATCATACTATGCCTGAAATCTCTTTATTCATCTTCGTTTTCCAATTCCTACCCAGCGTCACCTCTTCTTTAGAAAAAAGCTGCTTCACTCATCCCAGATGCTTCGGGCAGTCTCTTTGGGTCAGGACCGCTATAAACGCCATTACTGGGTATTGCCATGTCTGGCTGGTATCTTTGTGGAAGGATCAGAGGAGAGCATAGGTAGGTTTATCTGAGTTCAAACACTTTGTTTTCTTCTGCCCAGTACTCTTGAGCTTTAATTTTATGGTACGATGGAGTTTATTAAGAGCACAGGCTCTAGAGTAAAACTGCTTGCCAGCTACATGCTTCTTCAACTTGTTTGTCTGTAAACTGTAGCCATATCGGTAGTAAATATACATCATAAGACAGCTGAGAATTGGAGCTGATGACAGGGCACAGTGGTTAAGAGCAGGCATTGCTCTTCCAAAGGACCTGGGTTGCATTCCCAGCACCCATGCCACATGGCTCACAACCACCTGTAACTTCAAGGAATCCAGTGCCTATGGCCTCCACAGGTACCTGTATACACATACATACACCTTTAATCCCAGTACTCAGGAGGCAGAGGCAGGTGGATCTCTGAGTCTCCACAGAGAAACCCTGTCTCGGGAGTGGAGAGGTCGGGAGAGAGGGAATTAAAATGTGCTGATGCTCTTATTTGGTACTTAACAGAGTTGAGATGTAGCTGGGAGGCAGGGTTAGCACAGTGTCCTGGGGGTTGATCCCAAGCACAAAAACAGGACTGAACTGAGCATGCTGATGAAGACTGACACAGTGCTTGGAAGGCTGAGTCAAGATCATCTAGAGTTCCAGACCAGACTCAACTGTGCAGCAAAACCCTGCCTCAGAACTTGGGTGTTTAATCTGTATAGTTGTTTCTTAGTAAAGTAGTTTAAGATTATGCTTTGGCTAGTCATCTGTTAGAGCAAATTAGAGCAAAACATTCTTACACAGCCACGTCTTCAGTTCCTTGTTTCTCTCTACAGTTACTGAAGATGGAATGAAGCAGGAAGCTGAATACTTGACGGAAGCAGTCACTTCAACACCCTGCCCCGCTCTAGTCTCTACAAAGAGAGAGTTAACTGGCCCCGACACCCCTGCTTCTCCTGCCCGCGCACGAGGCCGACCTCGAAAATCTAAGCCTGGGTCTATGCAGCCTAGGCACTCTAAGTCTGCTCTTAGGGAACATGATTTAGAACAAGCCCAGATTCAAGTTCAGCCAGAATCTCAGTCCCATCTGCAGATTCAGGCATCCACCCAGCCCCATCTTCAGTCCCATCCCCCATCAGATAATGGGTTTCTAGAGCCAGAAGGCTCCCCTCTGTCTCTGGGTCAGAGCCAGCATGACCTCAGCCAGTCCGCCTTCCTGTCTTGGCTGAGCCAGACTCAGAGCCACAACTCCCTGTTGAGCAGCTCAGTGCTCACGCCTGATAGCAGCCCAGGGAAATTAGACTCCGCTCCATCCCAGTCCTTGGAGGAGCCAGAGCCTGATGAGGCAGAGTCTTGCCCTGATCCTCAAGGACCCTGGTTTAACTTCTCAGCCCAGATACCCTGCGATGCTGCCCCTACACCACCTCCTGCCATTTCTGAGGACCAGCCTACCCCCTCCCTCCAGCTGCCTGCCTCTTCTAAGCCAGTAAGTAGTCAAATCAGTCTGCTTTGTCTTGCCCCAGGCTTCCACGTCTGTCTGTGAGGCTGTAACCTGAAGTTAGGTAACGTGTAGACGTAAAGTATCTTCATTTCTTCATGTCTCCTTATTTCCAGATGAGTATACCCGGTGCTGCCAATCCCTGTTCTCCAGGACAATTCTCTTCTACCCACCTGCCTGGAGGGGGCACTAAGAGACCATCAGGAGACTCTGAAGAAATGCCACAGAGTCCCACAGGGCTGGGACAACCAAAACGGAGAGGAAGACCTCCTAGCAAGTTCTTCAAGCAGGTGGAACAGCATTACTTAATCCAGCTGACAGCCCAGCCTATCCCCCCTGGTGAGCGAGCCTGGCTAGGATGGGGTGAGCATGGAGGTGATAGCAGTTTCCTTTGTGGCTCCCTGCCCATATACATACCCTCTGTATACAGAGATGTGCTCTGGCTGGTGGTGGATCCGAGATCCTGAGACACTGGATGTCATGCTCAAGGCACTACATCCCCGAGGCATCAGGGAGAAGGCACTTCACAAACACCTTAGCAAGCACAAGGACTTTTTGCGGGAAGTTTGCTTACAGCCCTTAACTGGTAAATAAAGAGACCTTGGCCAGCCTGAGCCAGAGGAGCTGCCATGCACGGGCCCTAGTGGACTCTGCTCTGTTCTCTCTCTTCCCAGATCCCATCTTTGAGCCCCATAAGCCGCCTGCCATGGAGGAAGGATTTATGAGCTGGTCCCCCAAAGAGAAGACTTATGAGACAGACCTAGCTGTGCTTCAGTGGGTAGAAGAGCTGGAGCAGAGGGTTGTCCTGTCTGACCTGCAGATTCGGGTACACTGGGGTTAGCACTGGGTAGGGTATCTGTGCTTGCTGCTGTGTGCAGTGCCCTCAGACCAGAAGTGTCAGATCTCTGGAACTGAGCCTTACAGACAGTTATGAGCCCCATGTTATGGGTGCTGGGAATTGAACCCTGGTCCCCTGGAAGAGCAGCCCACATGCACTCTTAACATCTGTGCCCTCTCTAGTCAGACTGGCCTGGGATTTAAGGCATTCTTCCTGCCCCAGCTGTCCAGGTGCCCAGATTGTAGACATGAACCCCACTACACTCAGCTAGAGGGGGGTGTCAGGAAAAGCCTTTGGTTTCTTCCTCCTGACACAAAGTACTTCCCTTTACAATGTGTTTTATTCCTCTTTCCCACTGGAAGGGCTGGACGTGCCCTAGCCCAGACTCTACCCGAGAAGACTTGGCCTACTGTGAGCATCTGCCTGACTCTCAGGAGGATATCCCTTGGAGAGGACGGGGCAGGGAAGGTGCAGTACCTCAGCGGCAAAACACCAACCCCCTGGACCTCGCTGTGATGCGACTGGCTGCACTGGAACAGAATGTGGAACGGCGTTACTTGCGGGAGCCTCTCTGGGCAACCCATGAGGTGGTAGTAGAGAAGGCCTTGCTAAGTGCACCCAACGGTGCCCCTGATGGCACCACTACTGAGATGTGAGTGACTCCTGCTGCCTGTCTCTGGGCCTGGGGGAGAGAAGACAAAAGCCTTCCTGTTACTCATTCTAGATTTCCTCTCCAGATCATATGAGATTACCCCTCGTGTTCGTGTCTGGAGGCAGACACTTGAGAGGTGCCGTAGTGCAGCCCAAGTGTGCTTGTGCATGGGCCAGCTGGAAAGGTCCATCGCATGGGAGAAGTCTGTCAACAAAGTGGTAAGAGTCTGAAAAAGCCTGGAAACAAAGACAGTTGGCTTGGTGAGTGTGGGGTGGGGTCCTCCTTAGGGAAAGGTGTAAGGATTCCATCTCCCTCCTCACAACTTTGGTCTAGACATGCCTCGTCTGCCGGAAGGGTGACAATGATGAGTTTCTCCTGCTTTGTGATGGGTGTGACCGTGGCTGCCACATTTACTGTCATCGGCCCAAGATGGAGGCTGTTCCAGAAGGAGACTGGTTCTGTACTGTCTGTTTGGCCCAGGTAAGGAGGTTTCTACTGTTTGAGTCAGAGATTTTCTTTTTGATCCTTTTTTTTTTTTTTTAATAAAGATTTTATTTATTTGCTATGTATACAACATTCTGCTTCCGTCTATATCTGCACACCAGAAGAGGGCACCAGATCTCATAATGGATGATGGTTGTGAGCTCCCATGTGGTTGCTGGGAATTGAACTCAGAACCTCTGGAAGAGCAGTCGGTGCTCTTAACCTCTAAGCCATCTCTCCAGCCCCCCCCCTTTTTTTTTTTATTAAACCACCAGTCTCACAACCTTCAGGCTCTCCTTGGGATGAGCCTTGACAGTGTTTGGGTTGAGTCCTCCTTTCTATAAAACACTAATAATTATCATTTTTACTGCCCCTCCCCTCGCATTGGTTACCTGAATGAAGTCACATACTGGCCTATGGGTGAACATTTGAAGTCACAGTTCCTTGTAGGTCAAGCCCACAGAGCCGCACTGCTGCTCTTACCTGTGTCTATCCTCAGCAGGTAGAGGAAGAATTCTCTCAGAGGCCTGGTTTTCCAAAACGAGGCCAGAAGCGGAAAAGCAGTTTTCCACTGAACTTCCCAGAGGGTGACAGCCGCCGACGGCGGGTGCTGTCAAGGAACCGAGAAAGTCCAGCAGTGTCTCAGTGCTCAGAAGACGGCCTGTCTCCCTCCAAGAGACGGCGATTTTCAATGAGAAGCCACCACAGTGATCTCACATTTTGCGAGTGAGTTAGTGAATTATGGGACTGGCTGGCTGGCTCTGTGTGTGCCAGAAGGGCTGGGAGGAGTCAGCGTGTGCTTCCTGTACTGATAGGATCATCCTAATGGAGATGGAGTCCCATGACGCAGCCTGGCCTTTTTTGGAGCCTGTGAACCCTCGCCTGGTGAGTGGGTACCGGCGAGTCATCAAGAACCCTATGGATTTTTCCACCATGCGAGAACGGCTACTCCGGGGAGGGTAAGAAGATGTTGCTCTATTTCTGATTCTCTTTCTTTTTCTCAGCCCTTAACAGCTCACAACCCCCTTCTCCCTTGGCCCAGGTATACTAGCTCAGAGGAGTTTGCAGCTGATGCCCTTCTGGTTTTTGACAACTGCCAGACCTTCAATGAGGACGACTCTGAAGTGGGCAAGGCTGGGCACATCATGCGCCGCTTCTTTGAGAGCCGTTGGGAGGAATTTTATCAGGGAAAACAGGCCAACCTGTGAGGCAAGGAAGGTGGGGACCACCTTGTGTCTTCTCCAACCTTCCTGACGAAACCTGCCGTGTACACCTGCTGATGGCTGCCCTGGGTGGGCTCAAGTCACAGTGCTGATGTTGACTCTACCCTTGGCAACACCTACATCCTCTTTCCCTAATCTCTCCCTTCTTCCTCTTACTCCTCAAATAAGAGATGCAGAGATGAGGTCCTTCTGGATGGAAAGCCAAAAAAGAAAAAGAATTTTTGCTGTTTTTTTCTTCTAGTTAAAATGGAGAGGGGTAAAGAAGTCCCTTCCTCTTCCTGTCCCCCTCCCTTCCCCTCCCCTCTGCTCTCCTCCCCTCCCCTCCCCTCCCTGTACATGCCCCAGCACCCTGGGGCTATTTAGCAATAGCAATAGTTCTAGTGAATGTGTGAAACCGAGAAACACTCTGTACTGTGTGCGGACCCGCAGTGACGGCCAGTAAAGTGGACTTAACTCCCAAGTGTGTCAAGCCGGACACCGGGCCCTGAACATGCTGCTTCCATGTTCAGTCCCTTCCCTGCTTCTCACTTTCTCTCACTTTTTTTCTTCCCCCTTCTCCCTGTTTTTATGATTTTTGTCCCACCCAATAATGTAAAACTATCGTGTACGGGTTCTTCTTCCCCCTGTCCCCTTATGTGGAAAACAAAGTTCAGAGCTCCCTGTCTCTGTCCTCATCTCCTGCCAAATTACCCTCTGAAATGTTGGATCCTCCTCACGTGCTGAGTTTCTAGCCTTTTCTGAAACTCTGACTGGGGAGAGGGCAGGCGGGCGGGCAGGCGCCCTGGGCCTTCCAGCCTCCTTCCCAGCTTCCCAAACCTCCCTCTTGGGAACTCCTCAGGGACAACTACTGCTGAGTCTGAGTGCTGCTCCGAGATGGAGGCCCTCAGAGAGAGGGGGAGAGGTGTAGGTGTGTGTGTGTGTGTGTGTGTGTGTGTGTGTGTGTGTGTGTGTGTATACTTGCACACAAATGAGAGCTGTGATTGTGGCCCTGTTTTGTGTAATGGGATCCATTCATGTTTCCTCAAGTATGTTTTTATTCCCACCTTTCCCATTGTTTTGTACCATCACTTTTTGTCTTTGGGAAAACACAGGAACTGTTTCTCTGGGGACAAGGCTGTCTCTCCTCATGGTCATTTCTGTTCCAGCCTCTTCAAATTGTGCAATCTTTTCAGCAGGAACTCTCTCTCCTCACAGTAGCTTCAAGTCTTGAGAATTTGCTGGGAGAGGGTAGAACTGGATCTTTCTTAAACCATGAGTATCTGGGTTTAGTTGTGTTTTCCTTCCTTGCATCTACTTTATATCCCCAACAGCAAGCTCCTGGAGCACAGGATGGGTAGAGCGATGAGAGGGTCTGGTCTACCACTGCCCTGTGTGACTAAGCCCAGGTTAAGCCCCCAACACATGAGAGGAAAGCTGCTAACTCCAAGCTATAGCCATGGGCCTCTGGCCCCCTGCTTTCCTGCTCAGCAGAGCCCCTCCCATCAGAAATTACGGGTACTTGCACTGGGGAGGTGGCTGCTAGCTGGCCTAAGCAGAGAGCTGAGGCATCCAAGCAATGTTCCATTGGTGGGGGTGGAGGGTGCCAGGTGGGGTGGAGAGTTCCTTGTACTCCAGCAGTACTGAGGGGTGAGGCAGTGCAGGTTCCTGGGGAGCCCTACACTCACTCCCTATCGCCTATTTCTAAAGTCGCCTTTTCTGTCGATAAACCTCAAACTTAATTTTATTTGAGAATTTTTTTTTTTTGCTTTTAAATAAGAGGTGGATTGAAGAATATTTGAATTGACTTTATATTATGCATAAATATTTATATTTTATCTAAATAACTGTGCCGTAACAAACTTTGTGTTAGTCAGATGTTTGGAACTGTTATAACTGGGGACAACTCTCCCCATGGCAAGTTTCCCTTGGCATAAAATGTACTGGAGTCATTCACTGTTGGAGGTGGGAGGGGGATGAGGCCTCCTTGTCTGCTTTGTGCTCCTTCTCAGCTCCAGCTCTTTCCTAGGGACCAGGCACTCTTAAGGTGGGGGTGGAGGTCCTAGACTTGATTTGAAGAAGTGGGGGCTGAAGGGGTCGTGGGGTAGGGCATGATCAAAGGGGCCATTTCTCACTTTCCTCATTTTCACTGCCCCTCAAGCTAGGTGGATTTTCTCTTATTGACAGAGTATTTGGTAGGGAAAGCAGGTTAAAAATAAAGACACCCACCCCTGCCCTTTGTGTCCCCTCCCCGGTAACAGCAAGAAACCATCAACACCAACAAGTTTCCATGTTCCTTTACAACAAAAGGGACTGACTTTTTATATAACCAAATGTGGTGTTTTAGTGACTTTTTGATAATGTACAGTTTTTTGTGAATTTAAATTTATTTCTTTCTATATTTTTAGGACCAATCTCATTTTTAATAAGGTTTAAAAAAAAGGAAAAAAAAGTCTAGAGAAAAAAAAAAAAACCTCGTTTTTGCCATGTGATGTTCCACAGGTGCGGCTGTAGAGAAGTGCTTGTCATTGAATAAAACCACATTTGATAGAGAATCAAGAAGACTTTGTGTTTTGAGTGTGGGGTGGGTCTGACTCCCGTGCTGTCTTGTTTCCCCTTGCTGGTGTGGTGGTGCACTCACCGCTCCTGTTACAGTATCACCTCCACAAATAGGAAAGACACTAAGGCAGGCTTTTGTGTTTTATTTTTAAAAGTTAGCAAAAGTAAAGCTCTTCCAAATCACAGGGGAGGAATGGGAGCCAGAAGTCAGCCAAGGAGAGCAAGCAAGAAGTGGTGTTGGCAGATATGGGAGAATATAAAACTACAGCTTTCTTGGTAAAGAGGAAAATGTCCAAAGTTGTTCTAAGTATAAATTAAACTTCCTCTCCAGGTAGTAAGTGCATCCTTTAGAGTCATCACCAGCCCCAGAGAGAAGCAGGAGCAGATACATTCATTCTAGCCCTGTTAAGTCACACACAGCCCTTCCAGCTCTGTGGCAGCCTCCAATCCGTTCTTACTTTGAGGTCTTAACCTCTTCTCCAAAGCTGGTGTTCCTGGGTCACGAGTAATTACCCTTGTGGTCACTGCACAGCCTAGGCCCTGGCTTGTCTTCTGGACAGCTCACACTGTTGTAGGTGATCAGGGAGCCAAAATCGCTAGAGAAGACAATCCAGAAAGACCAGTTTCCCTTCCAGAACTAAAGAGTTTGCGTTAGTTTCTAAGTCCAGGAAGACAAGGGCAGTAGGTGCTGGGCCCTTGCTGAATTGTGAGACTGAGGTAGTTGAGTAGCGAGGACAAGGAAGTTGGGGGTTTGCTTATTTTGAACAAGCAAATACCAGGCAGAGTAGTGGTCACGAGAGCCGTAGCTTTCAAAATCATTGCCACATGGAGACCACCTCCAGTGAAACACAGCAAAAAGCAGAGGAGACAAATCCGAACTGGTTTAGCTGCTGAGGAGAATGTCGACCAGTCAGGACTCTTGTGCTGAAAGGCATTTGAAAAGCAGCCTACTCAGAAGTACAGAGTGGTGTAACAAAGCACAGGTTTGATTTTCCTCTGTAGACTGACGCCCTAGTCTCTGAATTCAGGTGTAGAAAAGGCTGGCTAAGTTTGGACTCACCACCTACCTACTCAACTGTATTGCCCTTGGCGAAGATGCAAAAACCAACCTTCAGTGAGTGCAATTCTGACACTTTGTCCTAATTAATGTCAGCACCTTCCTCCAAAAAGGTCAGTCTATCTACAGCCTGAAAGAGATGCTAGTAATACTGAGATGGATTAGGCCTGGAGTCTGGTAAAGGATGACACCACCTTAGGGGTGGACTCTGTTCATCTGTAATGAGTGGAGGTGGTATGTAAAGAGAGAAAGAGCTAACCTTCATGCCAACGGGGTTTAGGCTGCACGGGGTATGGTGGAGAGCTGCTTCCTGAGGGGCCGTGCCATGTGGACCATCCCTCTACAGCCTGCATCCTTACTTCCTGTCCCCACTGAGTAATGAGCAAGCAAGAGAGGATGAAAATCACCAAGCAGAGTTACACAGTGCCAGTCACCACTATAAAAAAAAAAATACAGGTTACCCTCATTTCCCATGTTCACACCTGTTAACCGGAAACACTGGGATCTAACACACAGAGGAAAACCAAAAGGAAACTTCAAATTTTAAAACCATCAGACATTGGAATTGCTTTAGAACTACAGAAAAAGAAACAACTTTTAAGGAGGTAGTGGAGGGACTGCAGTGACAACAGGACTAACAAAGTAGCCTCTTCAGTGTTCTGTCATTGAGGGCTGGAAGACAAGTGCGGGGCTTGAGGCCTTTTTTATGACTGATCTTCCTAAGGTTGGAAGCACCAATGAAAAATCTGGTAGTTTTGCTTTTATACTGTATGCTTGCCACTGCCATGAGCCCTTTACTCCCAGAATGCACAGGACAACCAGGCCAGGGTTCCCAGTTCTGCAATAAACACACGCTCAGCCCTTCCTCTCCCACACACACAGGCCTCTGAATACATTTCCCCATCTCCATTACTTTGGTTGTCTAGTGGAGGAGAGCCTGGCTTTGATATGAAGAGGACAAGTCACATTATGTGGGGCAGGTCTTGCAGAAGGGGACAGTTGAAGAGATAGGCACTTAAAAGGTCCTCCTCACAGAAGTAATGGGCTAATGCATTGCCTTTTTCTGTCCTAGCACCCTGTTGTCCCTCCTCAAGGACAATGATTTCCGGTGTTCTGGTTCCCTGGGGAAGGTGTCCAAACACACCAGGGCTGGGCAGGGTACTGCAGAGAGCTTGGTCCTCAGGCATGCACAGCACACATTGAACAGTTCTCACCTCCATCCCTTCAAACTGTGCATTTGGCATACACACACAACCATGAGTGAGCCCTGTTGAATTCTTAGGTGATTTGGCAAAGTCACAGCTCTGAAGATTGTTGAGTACAGCCATGTGCAGCTGGGATGAGGGGCTGAGACCCCAGGCAGAAACAATCCTCCAGGAAGCAGAATGGACAGAATTCAAAGATCATAACTGGCACTCCTGGTTGGGTACATGAACACGATGAGGCTGTGTCCAGGGTTGGGCTGGGGATTTAGCCTACTCCAGAAGGCAGGGAAGTACTGTAACTGAACTAGATAACTGCCAGGATGGAGTTGGTGAGGTGGAGTTCTGTAGTGTCAGATGTTCAGTCTGCAACAACTAGGTGCCAAGCACATATGACCACTCCCCAAGCACGGCAATCAAAGACAGACATGGCAACAGCCTCTTGGGGACAAAATTACCTCCAGCTGAAGTGAAGGGCAGAACTTGTGCAGCAGGAGAAGAATCTTAACATGGACTGAGCAAGACCACAAGCAGCAGGGGTGGGGGCTGTGGGACCTGGGATAGAGTGAAGACCTTCTAGGAGGCAGAACAGGTGTCCCAAACGCTGAAGCTGGGTGACACTTGGCAGTGCTAAGAGGCGGTCAGGTGTCAGTAAGTTCACCCTTCTTGACCTTGCCACCAGATTTGGTTGAAGGCTGCACGGATGTCTGCTTCCCAGAGTCTCTTCTCAGAGGGCAGAGAAAGCCACCTCCACTGCCAGCACTGCTCTCCATTCCCCAGTGCCATATGAAATTTACGCCAAATCCATAAAGTTTAAAAGCTGAAAATGCAAAGTAGGCAAGGCCCAGCTGAATGGAAAAGAGAAAAAGAACAATCTGGACAAGAAGTAAAAAAATAGCCAAGCGTAGTGGTGCACTCAGGAGACGGAATGGGTAGGATCCCTGTGAGCTCAAGGCCTGATCTACAGAGTGAGTTTCCAGCCAGCCAATGCTACACTGAGACCCCACCTTAAAAGGTGGGGGGTGGGGGGTTCAATGGGATGGTGAGCTGAGAGCTTTGCAAAACAAATTTTAAGTCTGCATATTTAAAACATATCAAAAATAGTCCATAATAACTTGGCAAGCAGGGCTCCTTCATCAATTTTCCAGCACTTTTTTTTTCTAAGTATTTCCAACATATCCAAACGTTTTTGTGAAGATGAGAAGCAGCCTGACCAGTGTTTTTTTGATCTTGAATGTAGCACATACAAAATGCAACATGGTTCCCCGTGCTCCATCAATGAGAAAAGGCAGGCAGGCGCAGGCTTTTCTTCTCAAGCTGGGCAGGCCTATGAGGAAATGATGGCCATGTGTTAGCGCTCAGCATGGTCTACAGATCTGGAACCTGCCGAATCTTCTGGAGTCTGGGAGCATCTCCAAAAAAACGCATACAGTTCTTACCTCACTACTTGCTGAACTGGAAAGGATAGACCCCATGGTCTGAGGGTGTCTCCACTGCCACTTGATTCTGCTGGCCACTGCTCTCCTATACACAGCCAAGGGAAGTTACTGATGCATCCCTATGCGCACCTCCCACTGAAGAAGCCTCACTAAAGCAAACCCGAGGTGAGTGGCCTCCCCAGCTCACCCACTCCCCAAAGCAAGTGTGCTAGAAGCATCCAAGCTGGGAAAGGAAAAGCGGTCCGGCTGCTTTGGGATAGAGTTAAGCAACCGCTCATTTCCAGAGCATTTAAGCAACTGAGGTTGCATCCCGGTCTACACTAAGCTGAGCAGGCTGGCTGTGAACACCAGTGAAGTCTCTCCTCCCAACACTCCTCACACCCACCAGTGAGGAGCAGAATCAACAGTGCTGTGAGAGAAAGTGCTCTCTCAGGACAGAAACCTGCTTGTTCCTGTGTCCTAGCCTCATTGCAAAGAAAGAATGCTCCTACCTCAACAGAAACATTGGAAGAAGGCCCGGGAGGGTACTGGGGGATGTAAGCTCCTTGTATAGCAGCAGCTGTTGGCATGAACTGGAATGAAAAGAAACAATGGTTCTCAGCCAGTTTAAAGCTGTGGGAAGCACTGAGATACCTCGATTGGTGTGGGTGTTTCTTAAAATGTTGCTGGCGGTGCTCAAGTACACCAGCCTCGACACAGATCTGCGTGACTCCCCTCCTTTCTGCACTGCCTTCCTAGTGTCTCCCTCCACACCCTCGCTTCCCGCCCACATGCTTTCCAGCACAAGTCAGGCCTAAAAGAAACCCCAAGCTGCTTCATCCCTTCCTTTCAGTACTCTGATAAATTGTAGGAAGTACGTTCTGATCCCTGAGCGGATACACAAACGTTTAGAGCTTACTTAGTCTGGTGACGGGAAAGCACCTAGAGAGAGGAGGAGGGCAGAATGGCTATATTCCCAGTTTACAGGTTCTTTTTTTTTTTTTTTTTTTTTTTTTCTTTTTGAGCTGTTGACAGACTTCCTCCCTCAGCCCTCAGCCTCCGGAGTGTGGGGATTAGAGGCGGTTATCCCAGGTCTGAATGTTCCTTCACTGACCCTGAAAACACACTTCCATCCGTCCTAACTACTGGCGATAAGGAGTATTTCACAGGCAGCCTTACTCTGTAGGGTTTGATACTTAGAGATGATCCTTTACCGTGCCCAGGCTGTTGAGTGACAGGTGACCCAGTTGCTGAGTAAGAGGTCCCATCATGGAGGCAGGCTGGAGAGAAAGAGGATGGTCCATCCCTGGTGTAAGAACCGAGCCCTAGAGGAGGCAATGAAGGAAATGGTTAGGCAGCCAGCCATTTCCTGCAAAGACACCTTAGGCAGCAATTGACAGCAGCAGGGCCACCAACTTTTTTTTAAACAGGGTTTCTCACTATGTACCCCTGGCTGTCCAGGAACTCTCTATGTAGACCAGGCTGGCCTCAAACACAAGAGATCTGCTTGTCTCTGCCTCCCAAGTGCGGGAATTAAAGGCGTGCATCACTACACCCAGATTTTTTGTTTGTTTGTTTTAAGAATAGTTTATTAACTGCTCTGTAAGCGGGAAGCAGACTGCACAGGAACTAGAGTACCATCTGCTGATGTTTTCAAGTCCTGGGTATTAACGAGAGCAGCAGCCCAGCTCTGTGACAGAAACAGCACCCTGACCTTCAGTCTGCAGAGACCTCTGCCTAAGAACTCACAGAATTAGGTTTACTGTTGGGTTGCACAGTGCACTAAGCCAAAACTCACACCCACATATCCTGTCATCAAAGCCCTTGGCTTTTCTTTACATCCAGTTGTCTCTTTGTCTGCCCACTTCTGAACACTCACTGAAGGCTGCATGAGGTACGACTGGTGTTGCATCCAGGATGGGCTAGGCACTTGTAGAGACGGCTGAGTCAATCTCTGATACAAGCAAAAACAAATAAAAATGTTAGCCTCCCAGGCTCAGTGACTGAGAATGTTGAGCAAAGCCCTCCACCAACTGGCATGTCCCTTCACAACAAACATTGAGAACAAGCTGTCTTTTCCAGGCATGGTGCAGCTACACCTTTAATCCCAGCACTTGGGAAGCAGAGGCAGGTGGAGCTGAGTCCAAGGGTAGCCTGGTTTACTTAGAGAATTCCAGGCCAGCCAGAGCTACATGGTGAGACCCTGTCTCAAAAACTTTAAAAAGAGCAAGGCTGTGATGGCACATGCCTTTAATCCCAACAATCTCGGGAGGGTCTATGGGAGTTCAAGGCCAGCCTGGTTTACAGAGTGAGTTTCAGGACAGGTCCAAAGCTACACAAAGAAACCCTGTCTCAAGGGGGGGGGGGGGGGGAGAAAACCACAAGCTGTTCATAAAAATTAGCAACTTATAACTTGGATAACCCAGTTAAAAGTAGGCACATGCCTTTAATCCTAACACTAAGAAAGATGAGGCAGGCAAATCTCAGTGAGTTTAAGGACAGCCTGGTCTACAGAGCAAGTTCCAGCACAGCCAAGACCTTCCCACAGAGAAACCCCATCTCAGGAAATAGCTCATCAGGTAAAGGCATTTGCCACCAAATCTGAAGACGACCTGAATTAGGTCCCCAGAAACCACAGCATGGAAGGAGAGAACCTTCTGCAAGTTAGTCTTCTGAGCTCCAGATAGAGAATGAGAATAAATGCGGATTTAACAAAAGATATTGGGGGATGGAAGACAATCCCTAGCACCCACAATGTGGCTCACAGGCATCTGGAACTCCAGTTCCAGAGGACCAACCTCCTCAGGCACCAGGAACACATGAAATACTCATACACACGTAAAAGCAAAACACTCATAAAGTAAAAAGACTTTTAAAAAGATTTTGTTGTGAGAATAACAAAATACACATTAAATGTGGTTATGTCTTTATAAATTAAATTGCTCAGAGCCATATACAAATGTATGATATATATGTATATATATATAATATATATATATGTATTCACATGAAAGTAATATGAAAGTAATAGGGAGTGAACATGCATTTACTTGTGAGGTGGTAAAAAGAGAGAGGATGACTTTTTTTTTTTTTGGAAGCGGGTTCTCTGTCATGTCACCCTGGCTGTCCTGGAGCTTGCTATGTAGACCAGGCTGGCCTCAAACTCAGAGATCCACCTGCCTCTGCCTCCCAAGTGCTGGGACTAAAGGTTTTCGCCACCATGCCCGCTCAATAGGATGCCTCTAAAAGAGTTTTTATACACATACAGGAATACATGCTATTTATATACATACACAGACATTATGCTCTTACATGACGTGTGTGTGTGTGTGTGTGTGTGTGTGTGTGTGTGTGTGTGATATAGAAGAGCCTTATATTTCTTCACTTAAAATACGAAGCAGAGAGCACACACCATGCCTTACCTGATAGGAAGACACAGGAGACGGGAGATATGGGGAGAGAGCAGCCTGAGCAAGCACCCTGCTGTGGGCGATGTTGTAAGGGGTTGGGTAGAACCTGTGAGAAAGTGCTTTCTTCAGTGAGAAACCTCAGCCAACAGAGGCACCTCCACTAACTGCCATCGAATCAAAATGAAACAGCACGGGACTGATCCAGACCCCTGAACGTGGATGTCAATGAGGAGGCCTCTGCACTCTAGGGGGCCCCTGGTAGTGGATTAGTATTTTTCCCTGGTATAAGAAGGGACTTTCAGAGCCCATCCCACGCCTCAGCCTGGACACATGGGGGAGGGCCTAGGCCTGGCCCAGGATGATGTGGTGGACTTTAGGGAGCCCCCATCGAGGGCCCTACCCAGCCTGGGGACCATGAAATACCCAAGTGCCTGGACACAAGCCATTGACATTTTCAGGTGATTTAATTATATAAAACACCCTTACCCATTTGGAAGAGCTGTGGTGGGGTCATAGGTTAGGGCCATACCACCCTATAAGAAAGAAATACAGAGTTCTTATTTTAAGACTTATGTATACAGTGCTATGCTATGCCTGCACTCCAGAAGAGGGCATCAGATCTCATTACAGATGATTGTGAGCCACCATGTGGTTGCTGGGAATTGAACTCAGGACCTCTGGAAGAGCAGCCAGTGCTCTTAATTTCTGAGTCATCTCTCCAGCCCCTAAGTTTCTTATTTTGAGCCCAGAGTAGGCACAAGTCTCACTACCGGGTTTTGGAACTGTGCAGGTTGCAAAACTGACTGTAGAGCAAGGAAACAATCAGTGGGGACCACTACACAGAATGCGCTCAAGCTGGCCACCTAAGGGCACAGAAACCAAGGCTGAGGCCATTTCCATCCTATTTTAATGCCTTCAGCGTCCGTATTTACTCAGAAATCTTTTTACCATGTCTCCATTCCTGGGCCAGGCCCGTCCGTTTTGCACAAATTTTCCTTGGTTCTGTCGTTTCTTTGGCCCGCCATCAGCAAATTTACAAAGCAAGGGGTCAGATGGTGCTGGCAAGAGAAAAAAGCAGAAGATCTGGACCATCACCTTGGCACTCATCCCTCTGGTGGCTCTCAGCCTGAGTTCCAGAGGCCTCACCTGTTACTCCAGGGGGCGTCTTAATATACTTTCCATTAAAGTGGGTGATGATGGCTTCACACTTCTCTGTGGACTCCATCCTAAGAAACATATGAGGAGTAAGGTTCTCACCTGTCCAGGGTATGCATTCTACACACATGTAGTGAGAAAACCCAGGTCCCTAGCCCCATGCATGCTCAAGCAGTTATAGGTGGTACAAACATGGTGTTTCTCTCATACGTGTTCATTTCCAGGCATCTATGTTTCCTTTTCTATATTTTATTTATTTATTTGTACTTATTTATTGGTTTTTTGAGGCAGGTTTTCTCTGTGTTAACAGTCCTGTGTGTCCTGGAACTCATTTTGTAGACCAGGCTGACCTTGAACTCACAGAAAGATCCACCTGCTTCTGCCTCCTGGGTGCTGGGATTAAAGGTGTGCACCACCACCACCTGGCTACCTTTTTATTTTTTTTTTAAGACAGTGTGTGTGTGTGTGTGTGTGTGTCTCTGTGTGTGTGTGTGTGTGTGTGTGTGTACCCCTGGCTGGCCTCACACCCCCTAGCTAAGTATGACTTTGGTCTTCTGATACTCCGGCCTCAGTGTCCAAGTTACAGAAATGATCGATGTTGACTTTCACCCAGTGCTAGAGACTGAACCAAGGACATCTTGCACTTTCGACAAGCAAGCACTCCACTGACTAAGCACATCCCTGGCCCTTTATTGTAAAATTCCCAATGGAGGGCTGATGAGATGGATCAGTGAGTAAAAGGCACTTCCCAGCAGGCCCAGAAACTTGAGTTCATCCCTGGAGCCCACATGGTATCAGGAGAGAGCCAACTCCTGACCTTGGCACATGCACTCTAACACATAAACACGCATGAAACAAATGTAAAGTTTTTCAAGTGTCTACTGAACTATTAAAAAAAAAAATCCCGCCGGGCGTTGATGGCGCATGCCTTTAATCCCAGCACTCGGGAGGCAGAGACAGGCGGATCTCTATGAGGTCGAGGCCAGCCTGGTCTCCAGAGCGAGTGCCAGGATAGGCTCCAAAGCTACACAGAGAAACCCTGTCTCGAAGAAAAAAAAAAAAAATCCTAATGGTGCCAGCAAGGTAGCACACGCCTTTAATCCCAGCACTCTGAGAAGCAGAGGCAGGTGGATCTCTGAGAGTTCAAGGCCAGCCTGGATCTATTAAGTTCCATGACCACCAGGGCTACGGTGAGACCCTGTCTCAAAAAAAAGGGATGAGGGAGGGTGGAGAAATGTCTCAGTGGGTAAAAGCACTTATTGCTCTTGCAGAGGACACAGGTTCTGTTCCAAGTACCCACATGGTGGCTCACAACAATGTGTAACTCCAGTTCCAGGGACCTGATGCCCAGTTCTGACCCCTGAAGGCAACAGGATCACACTTGGTGCACATGCATGCATGCAGGCAAAAGACTCACACCCATAAAAATAAATACGAGAAAAGTATGTGTTTGTACAAGCTATGGCTTTGTTGATATTTATTTTAATTTCTGGCCATAATTATCAAGGCCCAGTTATCTATGACATATTGCTATGATTGGTAGTGAAGAGCTCATGAGGACAGTGAGACGGCTCCGTGGACACAGGTACTACAGCCAAGTCGGATGACCTGAGGGACCTCAGAATCCACACAGTGAAAGAAGAGAAATGACCCCTGTGAGCTACCCTCTGGCTCCAACATGAGTGCAGTCTGGTTCTCCCCCCAACAACTGATAAGTTAATGCTTTTTTAAAGGGGGTGAGGGCTCATGTCCCATAGTGATAGTATTAGGAACTGCTCCATGACAGTTTCCTGCTGGGGTAAAGAGGACAGAGAAAGAAATGAGGATGTGGGTGTCAGTGGCTACTCACCATCCATAGCTCTGAAAGTTACAACAGCTCTCACTCCACCCCTCATCCGGGCACTACACACAGTCCTCACACTCGGTCCTCATCCTACACACAGTCCTCACACTCGGTCCTCATCCTACACACAGTCCTCACACCCTACACACAGTCCTCACAACACAGTCCTCACACTCGGTCCTCATGTGTGCACTACACACAGTCCTCACAGGCCAAATCACTTCAGACTTCCTGTTTGTTCTTGACTTCCTGAAATGGGATCTTGTTTTATAGCCCATGTTAGCTCTGAACTGTCTCAGTCTTCACAAGCTGGGATGTCAGTAGCTCTGCCCTCGGCCTGGCAAGAAACTCAACAAGTCAAGGAGCCTGCTTATCAAATGTCAGCCTTGACATTAGACTCGTGTCAAGTCTAATGATGATGAGTTGGTCCCTGGAACCCACTTCATCAAAGAGGAAAATGGATTCCTAAAAGTTGTTCTTTGACCTATACATTCCTGCCACAGCACACCTACACACATATACATATACATAAGCTCATGAAATAATAAAATGTAATAAAAATATAAATGAGCCGGGCGTTGGTGGCACACACCTTTAATCCCAGCACTCGGGAGGCAGAGGCAGGTGGATCTCTATGAGTTGGAGACCAGCCTGGTCTACAAGAGCTAGTTCTAGGACAGCCTCCAAAACCACAGAGAAACCCTGTCTCAAAAAACCAATATATATATATATATGAATAAAAAAACACTGATGTGGTAGAATATTATTTTAAGGTGTGTGACTTCTGTTTATGCTGCATTTGTTTAACTCTGTGAAACTGTGTTGTTTTGCCTGTCTAAAACACCTGATGGTCTAATAAATAGCAGGATGGAAAACACCTGATGGTCTAATAAATAGCAGAATGGCCAATAGAGAGGCAGGAGCAAAGATATGTGGGGCTGGCAGGCAGAGAGTATAAAGAGGAGGAGCAACAAGGAAAGAGGAGAACAAGGAGAGGAGGACATGAGGGGCCAGCCACCCAGCCACCCAGCCACCCAGCCAGCCACCCACCCACCCACGCAGCCAGCCACTCAGCCACCCAGCCACCCAGCCAGCCAGCCAGCCATGGAGTAAGAGTGAAGAGAAAGATAAAAGCTCAGAGGGAAAAGGTAGATGAGATAATTTGTTAAGAAAAACTGACAAGAAACAAACCAAGCCAAGGCCAGGCATTCATAAGTAACAATAAGACTCTGTGTATGATTTACTGGGGAGTTGGGTGGTGGGCCCCTCAAAAAGTAAGAGAGTAAAACATAACACTACACAATGACAGTTCTTTAATTCCAGTTGCTGGTGACTTGAATTCAAAATTGACCTCAACTACGGAGTAAGCCCAAGGCCAGTTTGGTCTGTTTAGTGAGACCCTGTTTAGTGATGGCCAGCTTTGTCAACCTGATAACAACCTAGAGTCACATGGGAAGTCTCAGTGTCTCCAGGGGACTATCTTCAATTAATTTACATGGGTGGCACCATTCCCTAGGCAAGGAACCCTAAACTGTGTAACCAGGCAGGTGAGCAAGTGTGCATGGATTCATTCTGTTGTGGTTTTCAGTTTTGGTTGACAGGGTCTCACTATGTAGTCTTTTTGGCCTGGAACTTACTATACAGACCAGGCTGGTCTTAAACTCTGCCTACTTCTGCCTCTTGAGTGCTGGGCTTACAGCAAACATCACCATACCCAGCTGCTCTCTTGTCTTCACTGTAGGTGTGACTGGACTAGCTGAACCTCCACCAACTTTCCTAAGATGGACCATAACCAAGGGCCATGAGTTAAACTAAACCTCTTTCCTAAGTTGTCTTTCATTGGGGTATTTTATCACAACAAAGAAAACAAAATTAGGACACACTGTCACAAAATGAAAAGTAAAAAGAATGGGGATGCAGCTCAGTGGCAGACTGCATGCCCAGCGTGATTGAAGTCTTGGGTTTTAAGCCTGTTTTGCAAAGAAAACAAAGTGTCAGAGGGGATGAGGGGCTAGCCCACTTGGTAAAGTGCTTGCTGCTCAAGTCCCAGCACCCACAGAAAAGCCAGGTGTGACAGTGACATCCAAATCCTTGTGCAAGCATACCTCACACTAGCCTCCCCCCAAAGAAAACACACCCCAAATTGTTTGACCACTTAGTTACTTAATGTGCTGGATATTTCTTTTGGTATGGAGGGGAAAGTACTAAGCTAAGGGTACCATGAACTGAGAAAATCTGCCCTTAAGTGGAAGAGCGAGCTCGGCTTAGTGGCCCAACTCTGTAGTTCCAGTATTCAGAAGGCTGAGATAAAAGGACCTCAAATAAGCTCAAAGCCAGACTGGACTTCACATCAAGACCATCATGCCTCAAATCAGATATAAATTTAAAAATAAAGGAAAACCGGTGTCAAAAATCAATGAACACAAGCCCAGTGAATTTTCTTCCTCATACCCCAGACTGCTGCCATTAGGTGGCACTACTCACATTTAGCCAGAGCCTCTATTATTTAAAAAAAAAAAAAAAAAAAATGGGGGGGGGGAAAAGTTTTGTTCTTTGAGACAGGGTCTCATATAGTCCAAGGACTCCTTGTTCTCTTGCCTCTATCTCCCAAATGTTAGGATTACAGGGTGGGCCACCATACCCAGTTCACTCCTAATCTCTGAATCGTTGACCAAGGGAGCATTTGTGAGCAGGTAAGAGACTGAGAGACACAAAGGGCTAAGACCATTTAGCACATTCATCTTTGAGCTAAAAACAAGTAGCAGAATCTCATTTCAAGGGAAGCTCAGTTGTTTGGCCTTTAATATTTTATATCTATTTATTTAACTAGAGTCTCGCTGTCACTCTGGCTGGCCTTGAACTCCAAGTGATTCTTCCCACCTGAGCTACAGCTCAGGAGGTCTTGTTCAGTTTTTCCTTTGTTGTTTCTGAGGCAGGCTCTGAATAAAATCAACTCTAAACTTTCTATGTAGCCCAGGGGAGCCTTGAAATTGTGACTTTCCTGTCTTGGCCTTCCAAGTACAGGTGCATACAACACCCAAACAGTTTTCATTTTTTATTTTGATAGGTTCTCCTGAAACCCAAATTGACATTGAACTTTTATTTCTTATGTATACAGTGTTGTCTGCCTGCAATGCAGGCCAGAAGAGGGCACCAGCATGCATTGTAGATGGCTGTGAGCCACCATGTGGTTGCTGGGAAATTGAACTCAAGACCTCTGGAAGAGCAGCCAGTGCTCTTAACCTCTGAGCCATCTCTCCAGCCCAACCTTGAACTTTTTGATCCTCCTGCCTCCACGTCCCAAGTGCTGGGATTACAGGGAGGGACAGTCACTGCACACCCATCTTATTCCACACTGAAGATAAAACTGGGGTTTCATGCGTGTGTGACAAGCACCCTACCAACTGAGCTACAGCTCCAGTGTGTCCTGAGACAGGGCTGAGATCTATGTGGCTCTGGCTAGCCTCACACTTCTTATTCTTCCAGATATGCTCGTTTGAACTTGTGGCAATTCTCCTTCCTTTGTCTCCTGAGTATTAGAATTACAAGTGTGGGTCTGACTCAAAAAAAAAAAAAAAAAAAAAAAAAAAAGAAAGTCTTTACAACAATTTTTTACATATATTTATTTTAGCTGGGCACTGGTTGCTCATGCATTTAATCCCAGCACTTAGGAGGCAGAGGTAGGCAGACTGTGAGTTCAAGGCCAGCCTGGTCCACAAAGGAAGTTCCAGGGCAGCCAGGGCTGTTACACAGAGAAACCTTGTCTCCACAAACAAGAGAATACATATATTTATTTTGTGTGTATGTGGGCATGTGAGTTAGGGGGTCAGAGGACTTAAGGGAGTCTCTCTACCACGTGAGTCTGGGGGGTCAAACTCAGATTGGCAGGCTTGGCAGCAGCTCCTCTACCTGCTGAGCCACCTTGCCAGCATCCAAACAAAATCCTAGAATAAAAGCAAATCATTTTTTAGGTAGGCTGGGATCACAGGAGGTCAGAAGAGGGCAGCCTAGAGAGCAGGAGTTGCTAAGGCTGGGAAATGTCCCAGTCACCCTGGTCTGTCACTGCAGGGGTTGACGTCGGCAGTCTCCCTGAAAAGGTGGGTGAACCTTGCGCTGCTTCATGCTACTGATGTGAGGGCCAGGTCTCTCTCTGCACTGCTGTCCACCCTTGGTTAGTAGGAGGCAGTGGGAAAGCATGAAGAATGCACAGCTGTGACACATAGTGCATGGTAGAGCATGGCTAGGATCCCAGCACTTGGGAGGCAGAGGCAGGAGGATTACCACCAGTTCAAGTTATATGCCAGGCCCTTGGCTCAATACACACACACACACACACACACACACACATATACTTGATTGACTACCAAGGGCTTAAACAATTGTTATTACATTGTATATATTCATTGTGTGTGTGCACAAGCCACAGCACGTGTGGAGGTCAGAGGACAATTGCCGGAGTCATTTTTCTCCTTCCACCATGTGGTTCCAGGGAGCAGACTCAGGCCATCAGGCTTGCTATAAAGTCTTTACCAGCTGAGTCACCTTGCTGACTTTTTTTTTTTTCCCCCCAAGACAGGGTTTCTCTGTGTAGGTTTGGAGACTGTCCTGGAACTCTCTTTGAAGACGAGGCTGGCCTCGAACTCACCTTGCTGGCTCTTATCAGGTCTTTTTGAGCATGATTTTGGTCCATGTAGGGAGGGGAGGGCACTGTGTGTGCCTGTGTGAGTGTGTCTATGTGTGTGTGTGTGTGTGTGTGTGTGTGTGTGTGTGTGTGTGTGTGTGTCTCTATGCCGTGTCTGTATGTGTCTGTGTGCATGCCTGTGCATGTGTGCAATGTGTCATGTTTGTGGGTCTGCCTGTGTTTTCTTTTTTTTTTTTTTAGATTTATTTATTTATTATGTATATAACATTCTGCTTCCATGTATATCTTCACACCAGAAGAGGACACCAGATCTCATAACAGATGATTGTGAGCTACCATGTGGTTGCTGGGAATTGAACTCAGGACTTCTGGAAGAGCAGTCAGCGCTCTTAACCTCTGAGCCATCTCTCCAGCCCCGTGTCTGTGTTTTCTGTGTCTGTCTCTGTGTGTTTGTGTGTGTATGTGCGTGTGTTGTTTCCTAAGTTATTTCTCTTTAGCCATCCTTTACCTTTTCTTACCTTGCAAAGCCGACCCCTCTGCTGGTCCCACTAGAGTCTCGAAGGATCCGGGTGGAGATAACCTGACCAAAAGGCTTCAGCATCCCCTCCAGCTCTTGCTCATCCATGGACAGTGGGAGGTTTGAGATGTATAAATTTGTAGGGTCTTGCTCCTGTTGCTATGAACATGAAAAGTGAAAACTGAGGCTTGTATCTTTATTCCCATCCCATCCTCAGCCCTCATGTGCAAAATAACATTTGAGCTGGCAGTGGTACACAGGAGGCAGAGGCAGGCGGATCTCTGTGAGTTCGAGGCCAGCCTGCTCTACAGAGCGAGTTCCAGGACAGCCAGAGATACACAGAGAAACCCTGTCTCAAACAAAAATAACATTTGAGAAAAGGAACATCAAGGGGGTTCCAAACAAAAAGAATCTTAGTTGTTTGTAATATCCAATCCCATTATCACACACCGTATATCTAGCCCAGGAAGAAAAATCACAGTATTTACTATGCCTACTGCTGCTCTTGCCTGGCAGCCTGGACCAGAGGTTAAATTCCCTCAGACTGCCTTGTCAGTTCCATCGTTCTGAATACTTTCTCCCCCATTCCTCTACCACAGCAGACTTGTCTAAGTGGGGATACCCGGTTACTCGTGGGTGAAGTAGGCAGGAAGAGGGAGGAGGTAATGGTATGGACCATGGGCGTACTACTGCTCAGTGGTTTTCCTCCAGCCCTAAAAGGTCTAGTCTCCTGGGAGCCCAAGGTTAAAGTGAGAGGCTGCGTGGGGTGAGTGGAGTAGTGGGGGTGAGGTTAGAAATGGGGGTGTTCCTACAAGACAGCATGCACAATGGCAGTTCTACCCCAGGGCTGGATTTTTTGTTTTTTATTTATTTTTATTTTGTGTGCATTGATGTTTTGCCCGCATGTCTGTCTGTCTGAGGGTGTTGGATCCTGTTGTTACAGGCTGGTTATGATGTATTGTGTTTTATATGCCCCCAAGCCAGAAGAGGGCGCCAGATCTCATTGCAGACAGCTGTGAGCCGCCATGTGGTTGCTAGGAATTGAATTCAGGGCCTCTGGAAGAGCAGCCAGGGCTCGTAACCACTGAGCCATCTCTCCAGTCCCGAACTTGAATTCTTGATCCTTCTGTCTCCTTCTCTCAAGCTCTGTGATCACAGGCGAGGTCCACGGCACCTGGCTCCAGAGCTGTGTTTTCAAGACTGCAAGTCATTACTCTGCATCAGTCAAGTCGTTCCCAGCAGCCGTAACTCCACTTTCAACTCACACTTCCTCCCTTTCTCCGTTTCCTCACTTTCCTCATTTTTCTCTAAAAGTTATTTATTTTTACTCTACGTCTATGGGTGCTTTTGCCTGCATGTATGTCTATATACCATGTGTATGAAGTGTTCCTGGAGGGCAGAAGAAGGTATTGGCTCCTGGAATTGGAGTTAGGATGGTTAAGTTACCAGGTGGGTGCTGGGAACTGGACCCACGTCCTTTATAAAATCAGCCAGTGTTCCTCTCTCCAGCTCTCCCTCCCCCCTCCATCCTCCCTCCCTCTCTCCTCTCTTCCTTCTCTTTCGAGACTAGTTCTCACTCTGCCCTAGGCTGGAATTCTCAGCAGCCCTCCTTTTTTGCCTCCCATGTGCTGGGATTACAGGCTTGAGCCATCATTCCCCAGCTTCATTTTTTCCTTTAACCATTAGAGAAAAGGATAGCTGCCTTGGGGCTGGAGAGGTTGCCTGGTGGTTAGAACACCGGCTGCTCTTCCAGAGGACCTGGTTTCTATTCTCTGCACCCACACGGAGACACACGATCCACTGTAACTCTAGTTCCAGGAATGGCCACCCTTATCAACTTCTTCATAGTATTTGAGATGCCTCAGCAAGGCAGGGGACTGTTCTCCCCTGTGAAGGGAAGCCAGGAAGGCGACTAGCTTTCTAGGGATTGACATAGAAAAAAAAAAAAAAAAAAGGAAAAAGAAAAAAAAATGAGCATATGAAATTCTCAGTTCAAGGGAGCTCTAAGAAAGAGGCACAGCTCTCTTCCCTGCTTGCTCTAGCTCCCCCGACGCTTTCCCAGCCCACTCCTGCCCCATGGGAGCAGTGGCAGCCATGCACAGCATGCTTCAGAACCTGAGTTGCACAACGTTCTTCAGAGACGGCTGCAGAAACTATAACCATCTGTCCCAGACAAGTGCAGCCGGGGATGGAGATAGGAGGCAGCAGGAATGGCAAGAGGCCTGGCCCTCCTGTCTGCCACACAAAGAACAAGCTTCTCCAACGGCTGGCACACGAGCACACATGCATACAAGTACACATCATCCAGGTACCCATGCATGCACACACGGTGATTCCTGCTCATCAATTTCATTTCTCTAAGCACCGGGAGGCCCCAGACTGTTGCTTCGGCACTGTGGGTAACCCCTGGAAAAGCAGCTGCTTTTCCAGTCTTACCTTTGCCATTTGGGCCTGCACACCACTGGCTTTCAGTGCAGTTACAGCCTTCTGTGCTGCCGAAGGGCTGTCGAAGTCCACGAAGCCGTAGCCTGGAACAGGGAAACAGCATCACGGGGAGGTGGGAGGTGTAAGAGAGGTAGGAGGCCCAGGCTTTTCAGGAGACAGAGGAAGAGTTATGGTCCATGTAAACGATGTAGTGGGGAGAAAGAGAAATTAAGAGTTTTCAGGCGATCGTCCACGTGACCCCTCAACCCAGAGGTCAGGCCCACTCTGGCTAAGAATGCCAAGAGAAATGAAGCCCTCATGGTATTCTGCCTTTCTCCTTCTCATTAAAAACCTGGGGCTTCAGACTGAAGGAATTAAACCCTAGACTTCATGCACTTCTAAAGGACCCCATCTCTTCTCTAGACAGCTCCTGGAAGTGCTGGACAGGGAGGAGTATACCAGAACAAGCGGGTACCCGATGGAAGCAGCCCTTCCCTACTCTTCTCGATATTCTTCCAGCTCCATCAGAAATGCTCAAACTCCTCCCTCCACAGCTATTCAGCACTGGGAAAGAACATTCACTGGGCTGTCCTGTTTTACAAGTAGGAACAGTCGCTATTCCTGCATTCCATCCCATGCAGGGAGACTTGTGTGGCCCAGAGTGAGCTTAAGCCACCTAAGGGACCTAGCTTCATGCAGTCGTCTAGCATCTTCAACTCTGGCTCTCTGGCCACCAAGGAGTCTACATACCAATTGGTTTTTAGGCCCCCAATTGTCCCAGCTCCTCCCAGGCACCGGGTACCCAGATGGCAGCAGCCAGAGGCAGAAGCAAAGGACGGCTTCTCACCATGGAAGGACAGACACCACTCTCTCACCTTTGCACTTGTTTGTGGTCTTGTCCAGGATGGCCTTGGTGGAGACAATCTTGCCATATCTAAGGGGAAGGAAGATGCAAAGTGATGATCTGGGGCAGGGTTTAAGAACAGGACAAAGGATCTGGCATGGTAGCTCATGCCTTTAATCCCAGCACTCAGGAGGCAGAGGCAAGCGATCTCTGTGAGTTCGAGGCCAGCCTGGTTTACAGAGTGAGTTCCAGGACAGCTAAGACTGTTACACAGAGAAACTCTGTCTTGAACCCCAGTCCCAAGAAAAATAATAAAATAGTTGCTGAAAAGACTGGTCAGGGTGCTGGAGAGATGGCTCAGAGGTTGGGAGCACTGACTGCCCTTCCAGAGGTCCTGAGTTCAATTTCCAGCAGCTACATGGTGGCTCACTGCCATCTGTAGTGAGACCTGGTGCCCTCTTTTGTCATATAGGGTTACATGCAGACAGAACAATGTGTACATGATAAATAAATCATTAAGAAAAAAAAAAGACTGTTTAGTGGTTAAGAACACTGGCAGCTCTTCTAGAGGATCTGGGTTTGATTCCCAGCATCCACACAGCAGCTCAGGACTGTCTGTGACTCCAATTCCAGGGGATCCAACACTCTCTTCTGGCCTCTGTGGGCACCAGGCATGTACGAGATACACAGACATATATGCAGGCAAATATCCATACACATAAAAAATAAAATTAAAAACAATTATTTTAAAATAATAAACATTTGTCCTCTGAGCCCCTATTCCCAACACTCAACTGGCCCCTTATTTGCATACCAGCTTGGTACAAACTGCTCTGGCTCAAATCCTGGCTCTGCTACTTTTTAGCCATGTGTGATCTTGGACAAGTCCTGTGACCTAACCATGTCTTGGCCTCACCACTGCAATCTTATCCCAACATATCTGAGTGTCAACACGTAACTCCTTTTGCTCTTTAACCTGGTTTCCCACCCTTCTGCTGCCTTCATGAACGAGTTAAATCAATGTGACATGTTGTCACTCTACATTTTATGAGGTTCCATGTTTTTCAGCTTTTTGGAAATCCTTGTTGGCAGCAGGGTCCTGCACAGCTCCCAGAGCTTGAGTCACGAAGTAGGTGCAGCTCTTGGGTTACGTCAGAAGCATCCACTAGGAAAAGCCGCTACATTCTATTCCAGTAGTGTGAAAATCTCAGCAAAAGAAGAGCAGCCACAAACAAAGTCTAAAGAACAAGGGCTGAACAGAAACAGTTGGCAGGAACTAAATTTGAGATTAATACTCCCAACAAGCATAAAAAAAAAAAAAAAAAAAAAAAAAAAAAAAAAAAAAAAAAAAACTATCCTCTTCTTCCTAAAGATGTTTGATGATGCTCTGCCAGCCTGACCCCTACCGAGAGCCCTCATCCAGTGGCTGATGGAAGCAGAGTCAGACATCCACAGATATACACTGAGCTGAAATCTGGAACTTAGTTGCAGAGAGGGAGGACTGAAGATCGAAGGGGTTGGTACCAGGCTAGTGAAACCCACAGAGACAGCTGGCCTGAACAAGGGAGAGCACATTGACCCCAGATGCTGTCTGGGAGGCCAGTACAGGACTGATCCAGACCCCTGAACATGGATGTCAATGAGGAGGCCTCTGCACTCTAGGGGGCCCCTGGTAGTGGATCAGCATTTTTCCCTGGTGTAAGAAGGGACTTTGAGAGCCCATCCCACGTCTTGGCCTGGACACATGGGGAAGAGCCTAGGCCTGGCCCAGGATGATGAGGTGGACTTTGGGGAGCCCCCCGTCGAGGGCCCTACTCTGCCTGGGGAGTGGAGGGTGGGTGGAGTGGGGGAGGTGGGAGGTTAGGTGGGGAGGGCAGAGGGAGGGAAGAGGGACTGACATGTGAAACAAACTTGTTCCTAATTTGAACTAATAAAAAAAATTACAAAAAAAAAAAAAAAAAAGATGTGTAATGGCTGACTGGTTTGTTTCCACTCCTGGCTCCCCCTCCCCCCACACCCCCACTTTTTCAGGGGAGCTTCTGGGACCTAAAGAATTAAGCCAGGGAAGGCTGGAGAGGTTGAGAAAGAACATGGTAGAAGGAGGTAAGGTCCTAGGATCTTTTGAAGCTCCGTGTTTGGATTCTAGCCCAAATTTAAGACAAGAAGAGGGAGTGGAAGTGACTGTCGGCCAAAGGACACTCAAGCTGCTATCCCCATCGGGGCCCCCGGGTGGAGCCTGCTGGGCCCAGCAGCCTGAGACTTTGAGCTCAGAATTTCCACTGCAGCTGGCAACAGCTGGGCCACTACTTTCTCCTCCTCCTCAGAAGGAGCCCCTTTGAGAGAACCAGGAGTTCCAGTCCCAGGCCACACCTCTTCTTCCGGCCCACCAGAGTTTGGGATCCAGCAACCCAGGAAGAGATCACTGGGACAAAGGCAGGAAGTCCTTCTGAGAACAAGAAACACCCTCCTCACAGAGGCTCAGCTCCCTGCTGCTCTCCATCTGGCCCCACCCAACCCACTCCTTCTCCAGGCACTTCACTCCTTCATTCTGTTGGACTGATTTTCGTTTTGTTTTTTTTAAGACAGGGTTTCTCTGTGTAACAGCCTGGCTGTCCTGGAACTCACTCTGTATACCAGGCTGGCCTCAGACTCACAGAGATCCACCTGCTTCTGTCTCCTGAGCGCTGGGATTAAAGTCAGCCGCCACCTGGTTGTTGGAATGATTTTTTTTCCTTTTCTGCTTTTTTTTTTATCGTTTTTTTATTTGAATTAGAATCAAGATTGAGTTACATGACAATCCCAGTTCCCTTCTCCCTCCCGTCCTCCCCTACCACCTCCCAACTAAGACCCTACCTATCACATACCCTTTCTTCTATTCTTCCCCTGACTCAAGCTTTCTGCTCCCTCATGACCTCTGCACCCTTCCTCTTCTCCCCTTCTCATTCTCGTAGCTTCCTCTCCCCTCTCCCCTTGCTCTCAATTTTCTCAGGGGATGGTGACCCTTTCCCCTTCTCCAGGGGACCATGTATGTCTCTCTTAGGGTCCTGTTGGAATGATTTTTAAAAAGATTTCATTATTTTCAATTATGCCTGTGTCTCTGTGGTTATGTGCCTGTGACTACCCGAGGTGCTTGGCTGCAGTTACAGGCAACTGCCCAGTGTGGAAACAAACTCTTCTTCAAAAGCGTTTATGTTCTTAACCACTGAACCATCTTTCCAGCTCCCTGATTTTGCTTTTTTGAGACAGGGTCTCATTCTGTAGTCTTGACACAGATTCCTCTATTTCATTTTCCCAGACAGTGTGAGCACAGCATGAGCCACCGTGCCTGACTTTCACTCCTGCTTCTTTCCAGCCCTGTTCTAGACTCCTAACTTCCATTCTACATGCCAACACTGACTAGTTCTCAGAAGGGCAAATGTCAGTCTCTAAGAAAAGGGAAGCCAAATCGAGTTTCTTGGAACAGAACGTAGCACCCGGGTAGAGTGCTTACGGCACACAAGGCCTTGAGTTTGCTATGCAGCAGAGGACCTGACTCCATCTCCTGAGTGCTGAGATGACAGGCACAGACCACTATGCCTAGCATAAAAACCTTACAGTATTATCTACACCCAACATGAATATGTACACATACACATACCAACGTGTAGGTTTCCAGCACACTGTCTGCATTCATAATAGCCATAAACTGGTAGCATTGCAGATATTTGCAACAATAGAATGGGCAATTCTATAAAGCAACAGTATAGGGGGACTGGAGAGATGGCCCAGTAGTTAAGAAGAGCACTGTCTGCTCTTCCAGAGAACCAGGGTTCGATTCCCAGCATCCACCTCAAGCAGCTCACACCCCCTTGTAATTCCAGTTCCAGGACAACTGATGCCCTCTGGCTTCAGAGGGCACCTGCACACATGCGGTGCATATGAACTCATGAAAACACATACATATAAATAAAAATACAGCCAGGTATGGTGGACACAGGAGGATAAGGAGTTCAAGGCCAGGCTAGACTATATGATACTCTGTTTTGTTTGTTTGTTTGTTTGTTTGTTTGTTTTAATACACACACATACACACACCTTAGAGATTAAGTGAATTATTTCAAAGTGTGTGATGGTAAGTGTTAATTGTCAACTTGACAGGGTCTGGAATCACCTGGAACACAGGCACTGGGCACCCCTATTGAGGGCCCCACCCACTCTGAGTGCTGTCCCCATGCTGGGGTCCAGAACTACATATGTGGAGAAAGGGGAACTGTGTGGCAGTAAGTGCCTGTTTTCCTTGCTTGCTGGTTGTGGGTGTGATATGACCAGCTGCCTCTCTCCAACTCCTCCACCTGGGCTTCTCCGGCATGAGGGACTGCACCTCAAGCATCAGACAAAAGAACTTTTTCTCTCTTAAGTTGACTTTGTTTGAGGCCAACCTCAAACAACAAAGCTGAAAGAAAACAAAAAGGCCACAAGAAAGAGTTCTGAAATATGTTGTAACTGTGAGGTAGAAGTGTATCACTACTGCAGTTCAAGCTAAGAGCATGTGACAAGAAGCCAGTGGCAGCCAATCTGTGCTGTCCCTGGAAACCTTCCTACTGGGACCACAACTTACGGCTGACAGAGCTTGACAAGGTCCTGGTCGGTAGTGCCTGGCTGCAGTCCCCGAATATACAGGTTGGTTTTGCTCAGCTGGTCGTGCCCATTGCTGCCACTGCTACTATTAGGGGTACTGTTCCTTGGACTTGGTGGTGCCATCTGCTGGGACAGTGACACATATGGCTGCAGGGAGACACGAGGATCAGAAGGTCAGGAAGACCTAATGGAGTTTGGTGCACATGGAAGTAAAGAACAGACTCCTAAAAGTTGTCCTCTGACCACATGGGCACTGTGGCATGCCCGTATACATGACCACATGCTTGCACACACAATATGAACACACACAATAAACATATAAAATATAAAAATTACATAGCCAGGTAGTGTGGCGCACGCCTTTAATCCCAGCACTTGGGAGGCAGAGGCAGGTGGATCTCTGTGAGTTTGAGGCCAACCTGGTCTACAGAGTGAGCTCCAGGACAGCCAGGGCTACACAGAGAAACCCTGTCTCGAAAAACAAAAACAAACCAAAAAAAGCTGGGTGTGATGTCACCTGTTTGGCGGCAGAGTCAGGAGGATCTCTATGAGTTTGAAGCCAGCCTGGTCAACAAAATGAACTCCAGGCCAGCCAAGGCTCCACTGTGAGAACCTGTTTAAAAAACAAACAACAATAAAAGGGTCTGAGTGAGAAGAAAATTGAGTAGTGCCCTTAAGAAACACCCACCTGACTTCCCAAAGGGAACTACTTAGAAAGGCGGTATAAACCAGTTATGCTCACCTAACAGATAAGAGGAAGTGTGTCATCGAATAGGTAACTGTAAGGAGCCTTGTAACCAGGCAGGCAAAGGCCTGGAGGGAAATTAGGACAGAGACTACAACCAGGCAGGCAAAGGCCTGGCTGAAGAAAGATTAAAGGAAAGGGAGCGTAGCTACGCAGCCCAGCTGTTGTATATAAGAGTGAAAATGTGTCAAGTGTGGCAAAGTGTGATTAGCACGGTTTAGCGAATTATTTAAGGACCAGCTCAGAACTGGGAATTTTAGAGTGTACCACGACTCTATGTCCTGAAGCTCTCCTCCGCTAACCCAAGACAACCAGTCCATCAAGCTGAGTGCCCATTCTGAGCCTGATTCCACAACATGGAGCCCTCAGGAGACTCGCCGGCCTGAATCCTGAGGAGCAGAAGTCCTGAGCCCGAACCTGCGGGCCCGCTGCCAGAGAGGTACCCCCTGCTGTGAGCCTATTGTCTATGGTTCTTAGGATTGTTTGCTCGTGCTTGTGTGTTGCTTTGACATAAGTGTGAAGTAAAACTTATACTCAAAACCAACTCGCTGAGTTTGTCATTCCTCCCAGGTCAAAACCTGGTAAGGGCTCGAGACAGTAACTAAAATATTTTTTACTGGAAAAGGGAAAAATAACAAAAAGCTTTGGCTTGGTCAATGCCCTACACTAAACTGTTACAATTCAAAAATCACTTGTGTCATGTTGTTTGAAGCAGGACCCCAAGCATCCCAGGATATTCATAAACCATAACTCCTCTGTCTTTATTTCTGCGGTGTTGGAATTATGCATGTGCGCCAACACACTAGGCTGCAGGTCAGAACTCTGGTAGCCTCTCATTTGCCACCAACTTCATTCTTGATCGGGCTTATTAACCACCAGGACAAGAGAAACCCTCCCATGCATGAAGTCCCGGGGCATAGTCAACAGAGGAACTGGTGAAGATCAGAGAACTCAGCTAACAAGATAACCTTATTATGTACGTAAAGCCTAAACAGTTTCACAGATGCCGCCAGTGACCTGGCTCTGTAATTGTGACTGCCACGTGCTTTTTAATTTGTGCACCGCTGGGGATTGAGCCCAGGCCTTGACTCTATACTAGGCAAGGCACAGGCTAAATTGCCCAGACAGGCCTTCCACTTTCAAAATTCAACTTGGTAAACCAGTGGGGTTTTATTGGGGTTACTTACAGAAGTATGAGTGAGGGGTAGCCTACCCCAGCATAGAACTGGGTCCAGAAAACTGGATACCTGGAGTGTGCCCCATAACCTACAGGCAGTTCAACAGTTTGGGGAGTGTCTTTTCTGGGAGATCAGTTGGTCTGAGCCTAACCCAGCACCTCTGCTTGCTTGAGAGCATTTCTTCTGGGTCCTTACCACTTATCTATGCCCATGTGAGCTTATTTGTACGACCCATGGTGACCTCAGACTCCTCCTGCGTCAGCCTCTCTGGCAGAGTGCACAATAATGTCTGGCCACAATATATTTAAATCCACTCCCACCAGGAGTTTACAAGTTAGAGCTCACGGCCTGGAAAGGCGGTGGAATGAAAACAGTGAACTACTGAGGATCCAAGCAAAATGAAAAAAGAGCAAGAAGGAATAGGCAGGTCTGGGGAGACTTCCCTTGAAAGGACAAGCAGAAAGAGCAGTGAGCTTCAGGACAACACAGATCACCTTGTGCAGGCCAGTGCTGTGTCAACCTGAACAATAGAGTCAGATGGAAAAGTGAGAACATGCCTGTGGGCCAGCCTATGGGTTTTTTTCTTGATTAATGATTGATTTGGGAGGACCCAACAGCCCATTGTGGGTGGTGCCTTCCCTTGGCAGGTGGTTCTGCCTAGTATAAGAAAGTAGGCTGAGCAAGCCATGGCTGCAAGCCAGTAAGCCACATTCCTCCCTGGTCTCTGCTTCAGTTCCTGCCTCCAAGTTCCTGCCTGACTTCCCTGGAGGAGGTAAACAAACTGTAAGACAAAATAAATCCCTTCTTCTCCAAGGTTGTTTTTGGTCATGGTGTTTTACCACAGCAATGGAAATGCTAACACTAGCCGGGTGTTGGTGGCGCAAGCCTTTGATCCCAGCACTTAGTAGGCAGGGGCAGGCAGATCTCTGTGAGTTCAAGGCCAGCCTAGTCTGCAAAGCTACACAGAGGAAACCCTGTCTCAAAAAAGTCCAAAAAAACAGAAAGAAAGAAAGAAAGAAAGAAAGAAAGAAAGAAAGGCAGGCAGCCTAACACACCTTCACACCATTGAGATGACAATAAAAACAGCACAAAGGGCCAGGTGAGTGTGTGATGTGAGACAGTAAAACATTCTTTTGTTGTTTGTTCATTTGTTTGAGACAGGGTCTCGTGAAGCCCAGGCTTGTGGTGGGATAATCTGTTTGTACACTGTCAAGATATGTCTCTGCCTAAGGCACTTTCTGATTGACTTAATGAAGAGTTGAATGGCCGATACCTAGGCAGGAGAGAATAGGAGGGAAAGAGAGGAACTTGGGGGTTAGAATCTAGGTGCAGAGGAGACACCAGGGAAACACTGAAGAGGTTGCCTTTAGTCCCAACACTCAGGAGGCAGAGGCAGGAGGATCTCTGAGTTTGAGGCCAGCCTGGTCAACAAAGCTACACAGAGAAATCCTATCTCAAACCCCTCCCCCAAAAAAGGCAAAGAGCAGGGAAGCTGGTTCACACCTGTAATCCTAGCACCAGGGACCAAAGGTAGAAGAATCAGGAGTTCAAGGACAGTCTGGCCTGTATGAGACCCTGTCTCAAAAATAAAATAAAAATTTCAAAAAACAAAACAAACAAAATAAAAAAACAGGCAGTGGCAGCACACACCTATATTCCCAGCACCGCAGAGGCAGAGGCAGAGGCAGAGGCAGAGGCAGGCAGATCTCTGACTTGGAGGCCAGCCTGGTCTATAGAGCCAGTTCCAGGACAGCAAGAATGGTTACAAGTAGAAAACTTAGCAGGGTGGTGGCGGCACAGGCCTTTAATCCCAGCACTCCAGAGGCAGAGGAAGGTGGATCTCTGTGACTTCGACACTAGTCTGGTCTACAAGAGTGAGTTCCAGGACAGCCTCCAAAGTCACAGGGTCTCAACCCCCCCCCCCAAAAAAGTAGAAAACTTGTCTCAAAAATAAATTTAAAAAACATATGAAAAGTTAGAATAAACCATTTTGTCCCCTCCCTCTCCTTTTTAATAGTTGGACATGTACTTGAGTAGCAGAACACTTGCCTGTATGTGCTGTGCAAGCCCTGGGTTCACACTTTAGTACCACCCCCCCAAATACAGGTAAAGAGATCTAGCCTATTCATCAGAAACATTTAGTAGATTTAAGAGTTGGTCTGATATTTGCAAATGAACTAAATCAAATAAATCCTGTTATCATCATTAGATTGCAAAACACTTAATTCTCTACCCAAGGTAGCTATCTCACTTCAGGAGGCCACCCTGCTCTATCAATGTCCTTAAAAGCAGTAGCATGTGGACAGGGCTGTCACCCAGCCACTGGGCAAGCCAAAGGACCTTGAACAACAGTGAGAACCCAGCAGAAGACAGAGACAGACAGACAGACAGTACAATGCCCCTTTCAAATTGTGAGACCTGGCAGCTAGCCAGGAGCGATACTCCAAACTAGAGGTTTCCCGGGGACAGGTAAGTTCCTACAGGGAAAAGTTCACAGGTTTTTGTTTGTGAATGGGAAGAGAGAAAGAAGAAAGAAAAAAAGAAAGAAAGAAAGGAGGAAAGAAAGAAAGAAAGAAAGGAGGAAAGAAAGAAAGGAAGGAAGGAAGGAAGAAAGAAGGAAAGAGAGAGAGAAGGAAGGGAGGGGAAGGAGGGTGGAAGGAAGCAAAGAAAGAACAAGAGAAGAGAAGAGATGACTGCTTCTAGGTATGTAGAGGAGGAGAAAGAGTACTGTAGATAAAAGGGAGACACAGCCACAGGCCAGGACATCTGGGAGAGTCCAGAGTGGACATGACCAGACTGAGCTGGGCCATGTGGGGAGAAGAGTGGAGGGGAAGGAAGAGAGGAGAGCAGGGGAACCCGGTGCAGCAGCCAGGAGGTATAGAAAGAGTAGGTAACCAAAATGGCTGGATTATATATGGAAAGGCAGCCCAGGCCCCTAGTCTGGGAAGTTCAGGGTGGGGGCAGGTATGCCAGCCAGGAGGGCCCTGTGACAGGTAGGGACTGAGGGATGCTGGGAGGGCCTGGCTGCCAGGTTTGTTTTGATGTGTTAAGTAGGCATCTCAGCCACTGGTCCCAGGGTTTGGTTTTATAGTATATGGGAGATGAATCTGTCTGGTTCTGGATTTAGTATTAGAATATCTAGTGGTCTAGAAATGTAAGATGTCTTTTGTTTGTTTGTTTGTTTGTTTGTTTGTTTTTGCAACAGGGTTTCTCTGTGTAACTAG